ATTTTGGGTTGATTTTTGGGATATTTTGGGGATATTTTGAGGTTATTTTTTGGGCTGATTTTGGGGATATTTAGAGGATATTTTGGAGGATATTTTTGGGCTGATTTTGGGGATATTTTGGGGATATTTTGGGTTGATTTGGGGGATATTTTTTGGATATTTTGGGGTGTTTTGGGGGATATTTTTGGGATATTTTCAGGATATTTTTGAGATATTTTTGGGATATTTTTGGGATATTTTGGGGGTATTTTGGGGGTATTTTTGGGATATTTTGGGATATTTTTGGGGGTTTTTTTGAATATTTTTGGGGATATTTTTGGGATATTTTTTGGATATTTTTGGGGATATTTTTGGGATATTTTGGGGATATTTTTGGGATATTTTGTGGATATTTTTGGGATATTTTGTGGATATTTTTGGGCTGATTTTGGGATATTTTTGGGGATATTTTTGGGATATTTTGGGGTGATTTTGGGGCTATTTTGGGGATATTTTAGGGTGATTTTAGGGATATTTTGGGGATATTTTGGGCTTATTTTGGGGATATTTTTGGGGTATTTTCAGAATATTTTTGGGATATTTTTGGGGATATTTGGGGTGATTTTGGGATATTTTTGGCTGATTTTGGGGATATTTGGGGTGATTTTGGGATATTTTTGGGGATATTTTTGAGATATTTTTGAGATATTTCTGGGATATTTTTGGGATATTTGGGGATATTTTGGGGGATATTTTGGGTGATTTTGTGGATATTTTTGGGATATTTGGGGATATTTTTGGGGATATTTGGGGATATTTTGGGCTGATTCTTGGGATATTTTGCAGATATTTTGGGGATATTTTTGGGATATTTTGGGGATATTTTGGGGATATTTTTGGGATATTTTGTGGATATTTTTGGGATATTTGGGGATATTTTGGGGATATTTTTGGGCTGATTTTGGGATATTTTTGGGCTGATTTTTGGGATATTTTTGGGGATATTTTTGGGCTGATTTTGGGGATATTTTGGGATATTTTGGGGAGTCTCTCACAGCTGCAGCTCCCGGCTCTGCTCTCTCTTGGCCAACTGCTTCTCGCGCTCCTTCACCAGCGCCTCCTGCTTGGCCTTCATGTCATTGAGGGTCACCAGCCCTGGGGACAGTGGGGACATTGGGGACATTGGGGACAGTGCCACCCCCAGTGTCCCCTCAGTGTCCCCTCAGTGTCCCCTCAGTGCCACCAGCGCCTCCTGCTTGGCCTTCATGTCATTGAGGGTCACCAACCCTGGGGACATCAATGGGGACATCAATGGGGACATTGGGGACAGTGCCACCCCCTCAGTGTCCCCTCAGTGTCACCAGCGCCTCCTGCTTGGCCTTCATGTCATTGAGGGTCACCAGCCCTGGGGACATCAACGGGGACATTGGGGACAGTGCCACCACCTTGGGGACATCCCTGAGTGTCCCCTGAGTGTCCCCTGAGTGCCACCACCCCTGGGGACATCCGTGAGTGTCCCCTCAGTGTCCCCTCAGTGCCACCAGCGCCACCACCTTGGGGACATCATCAGGGACATCACTGGGGACAGTGCCACCACCCCAAGTGCCACCAGCCCTGGGGACATCAATGGGGACATCAATGGGGACATTGGGGACAGTGCCACCACCTGAGTGTCACCTCAGTGTCCCCTGAGTGCCACCAGTGTCACCAGCCCTGGGGACACTGGGGACATCAATGGGGACATTGGGGACATCCCTCAGTGCCACCAGTGCCACCACCTTGGGGACATCAATGGGGACATCAATGGGGACATCCCTGAGTGTCACTCAAGGGGAGTTTGTGGTGGGATTTTGGGTGAATTTTTGGGTGAATTTTGGTGAATTTTGGGGTAAATTTGGGTGGATTTTAGGTGAATTTTGAGGTGAATTTTGGGGTGAATTTTGGGGTTAATTTGGGTGAATTTTGGGGCGAATTTGGGTGAATTTTGGGGTGAATTTGGGTGAATTTGGGTGAATTTTGAGATGAAATTGGGTGAATTTTGGGTGAATTTTGGGGTGAATTTCAGTGAATTTTGGGATGAATTTGGGTGAATTTTGAGGTGAATTAAAGTGAATTTTTTGGTGAATTTGGGTGAATTTTTGGGTGAGTTTGCGCTGATTTTAGGTGGATTTTGGGGTGAATTTGGGGTGAATTTTGGGCTGATTTTGGGATGAATTTTGGGATAAATTTGCAGTGATTTGGGGATGAATTTCAGTGAATTTTGGGTAAATGTTGGGGTGAATTTTGGGGTGAATTTCAGACGAATTTTGGTGATTTTTGGGATTAATTTTGAGGTGATTTTGGGCTGATTCTAAACTGATTTTTGGAAGATTTTGGTCTAATTTTTGGCTGGTTTTTTTGCTGAGTTTTGGGGCAATTTTGGCTGATTTTTGTGGGTTTTTTGACCAATTTTTGTGCTGATTTTTTGCATCTTTTGGCTGTTTTTTGCCCGATTTTTGGGTTTTTTTGGCTGTTTTTCGGCCGATTTCTGTGCTGATTTTTTAGGGTTTTTTGGCTGATTTTTGGGCAGATTTTTGGGCAGATTTTTGGGGTGTTTTTGGGGCTCCTCCTCACCCACGGTGCTGGATTTCAGCTCCGCCTCCACAGCGTCGTAATGAGCCGAGAATTTCTTGTCGATGTTGGACTTGACGATGTTCTCCTGGGGGAGGGGCGGCCTCAGACCCCCCCAAAAACCCAAAAATCCCCCCAAAATCCCCCCAAAATCCCCGAGACCCCCCCCCAAAATGTCCCAAAATCCCCCGAAAATCGCCCCAAAAAATCTCCCCAGGAACTCCCTGGGACCCCCCCCCAAACCTCCCCAGATCCCCCCAAAATCCCCAAACCCACCCCAAAGTGGCCCCAAAATCCCCCCAAAACCCCCCAAAAATCCCAAATGGCCCCAAAACCCCCAAAAAATCCCAAATGCCCCCGAATTCCCCCTAAAAACCCCCTCAAATCTCTCCCAAATCCCCAAAAAATCCCCCAAAACCCCCAAAATCCCCTCAAATTCCCCCAAACCCCCCAAAATCCTTCAAATACCCCCAAAAATCCCCTCAAATCCCTCCCAAATCCCCTAAAAATCCCCCAAATCCCCCCAAACACCCCCCAAAACCACCCAAATCCCCCCTAAACTTCCCCAAATTCCTGCAAAATCCCCCCAAAAATCCCAAATGCCCCCGAATTCCCCCCAAAATCCCCTCAGATCCCTCCCACATACCAAAAAAATCCCCCAAATTCCCCCAAATCCCCCCAAAATCCCCCAAACCCCTAAAATGCCTTAACCCCTCCCCAAATCCTCTCAATTTCCCCCCAAAATCCCCTCAAATCCCTCCCAAGAACCCCCAAAACGGCCCCAAATCCACCCAAAATTCACCAAATCCCTCCAAAATCCCCCCAAAACGGCCCCAAATCCCCCCAAAATGCCCCCAAACCCCCCAAATCCCCCAAAAATCCCAAATGCCCCCAAAAATCCCCTCAAATCCCTCCCAAATTCCCCCAAAATCCCCCAAACTCCCCCAAAATGCCCCCAAACCCCCCAAAATCCCTCAAAATAAACCCAAAATTCCTCAAATCTCCCCTCCCCCGCCCCTCCCCCACCTCCTGGATGCGCTGCCGCAGCTGCTCCATGTGTTCGCGCTGCCGCTCCCGTTTCTTCATCAGCTGCAGCGCCCGGCCCGCCTCGCTGGCCGCGCCCTTGTACTGCGCCATTTTCGGGCTCTTTTCGGGCTTTTTTCGGGATTTTTTGGGATTTTTTTGGGTTTTTTGGGATTTTTCGGGGCCTCGGCGGCGGCGCCCGGCACAACCCGGAAGTGCGCGCGGCGCCGGAAGTGGCCACACCCCCTCTCGGGCTCAGCCAATCAGGAACGAGATAAACGGAGCGGGACGTGCTGCGGCGCTGGCCACGCCCCCTTGTGGATCCAGCCAATCAGGAAAGAGAAACGAGGATCAAGCGGGGCCGGCGCTTTGGCCACGCCCCCTTTTGGTCCCGCCCCCTCCCCAACTCCTTCTTTGATTGGTCCAGTCCTCAATCGTTGGCCACGCCCCTTCCCTATTGGTTTAGCCTTCCTTTAGCCACGCCCCTTTCTGATTGGGCCGTTCCTTCCTCCTTGGCTCCGCCCCCTCGCCAACTTCTGCTGTGATTGGTCCAATCCTTAATTCTCAGTCTTGGCTCCACCCCCTCCCCAAATTAAATCACTGATTGAGCCTAAAGAGGCCACGCCCCCTCTAGATTGACCACGCCCCCTCAGCACAACCCGCCAATCCCCATCACGCACCCTGATTGGTTCAATCTTTAACCCATATTCCCGCCCCCTCCTGATTGGCTCAACCACTTTTGGCCACGCCCCCTTATTTAATCCCCGCCCCCTTTCCAGCGCCCAACCCCATTGGTCCATCCCACATTGACCCCGCCCCTTTACTGACCCAACCCCTCCACTTGGCCCCGCCCCCTCATCTAAGCCCCGCCCCTTTCCCGCCATTTTGAGAAATTTTTTGGGAATTTTTTGGGATTTTTTGGGATTTTTTATTGACACGACACCGACAATAAATAAAAGGGGGGGAGGGGACCCCAAATTTGGGGTGAGGACCCCAAAAATGGGAGGGGGAGGGGCCAAAGGGAGGGGGAGGGGCCAAAGGGAGGGGGAGGGGCTTGGGGGCTCCCCTGGAATTTGGGATTTTTCTGCAATTTGGGGGATTTTTTGGTCCAATTTTTTGGGAATTTTTTCTCCAAGTTTGGGGGTTTCATTCAAAAAATTGGAGAAAAAAATTGGGGGGATTTGTCTCCAATTTTGGGGTTTTTTTACTCCCATTTTTTGGGATTTTTTACACTGAAGTTTTGTGGGGGTTTTTTTCCTCCAATTTTTTTTCTATTTTTGCCCCCCAAATTTTTCAGCTTCCTGCCTGGAAATTTTGGAATTTTTTAAAGATTTTTTTCCCCCGATTTTTTGGGATTTTTACGTCAAATTTTTGCAATTTTTACATCAAATTTTGGGGCTTTTTTACAGTGAATTTTTATCATTTTTCCCCCAAATTTTCGTATTTTTCCCCCCGATTTTTTGCGTTTTCCCCCCAAAATTCCCGATTTCCCCCCCCCAAAATTTGGGGTCCCTCACTCGGCCAGGGGCACGGGCAGGGGGGGTCCCCGGGGGTCGTCGAAGCGATCCATGGGGCGCAGCCCCAGCAGGACCCCCCCCCCCAGCAGGAGCCCCCCCAGCAGGAGCCCCCCCGAAATCAGCCCCATCCACGCCCCCACCCCAAAAAACCCGGCGCAGTCCGAGGCCCCCCCAAAAACGCCCCCGGACACGTTGAACCCCTGAACCTGCAAAGGGAAAAAAAACAAAATTAATTTTGGGGGGGAACCCCGAAATTTGGGGTCCTAAATCCCCAAATCCCCTCCCCCACCCGCCCCCGTTGGAGTTTGGGGTCACCCTGATGGGTTTTGGGGTTCCCTGATGGCGTTTTTGGGGTCATCAGGTGCATTTTGGGGTCCCTGGTCCCGTTTTTGGGGTCCCCCCTTGTGGTTTTGGGGTCCATTTTCCATACCTTGTTCCCATTTTTGGGGTCCCCATTCCCATTTTTGGTGTCCCCCCTGTGGTTTTGGGGTCCATTTTTCATCCCTTGTTCCCGTTTTTGGGGTCCCCAATCCCATTTTTGGGTATTTTAGGGTATTTTTTGAGTATTTTAGGGCAATTTTAGGGTTTTTTGGAGGTTTTAGGGGATTTTAGGGCATTTTTCGAGTATTTTAGGGCAATTTTAGGGTTTTTGGGGGGTTTTAGGGGATTTTTCGAGTATTTTAGGGCAATTTTAGGGTTTTTTGGGGGTTTTAGGGGATTTTTGGGTATTTTTCGAGTATTTTAGGGGAATTTTAGGGTTTTTGGGGGTTTTTCGGGTATTTTTCGAGTATTTTAGGGTAATTTTAGGGGTTTTTTTTTGTTTTTAGGGGATTTTCGGGTATTTTTCGAGTATTTTAGGGCAATTTTAGGGTTTTTGGGGGATTTTTCGAGTATTTTAGGGCAATTTTAGGGTTTTTTGGGGGTTTTAGGGGATTTTTGGGTATCTTTCGAGTATTTTAGGGCAATTTTAGGGTTTTTGGGGGTTTTTAGGGTATGTTTCGAGCATTTTAGGACGATTTTAGGGTTTTTTGGGGTTTTTAGGGGATTTTAGGGTATGTTTCGAGCATTTTAGGGCGATTTTAGGGGTTTTTGGGTTTTTTAAGGAATTTTTGGGTATTTTTCAAGTATTTTAGGGCAATTTTAGGGTTTTTTGGAGTGTTTAGGGGATTTTCAGGTCTTTTTAGAGTATTTTAGGGTATTTTTAGAGTATTTTAGGGCAATTTTAGGGGTTTTGGGAGTTTTTAGGGGATCTTTGGGTATTTTTTGAGTATTTTAGGGTACTTTTAGGGTTTTGGCGGTTTTTAGGGTATTTTTCGAGTACTTTAGGGCGATTTTAGGGTTTTTTGGGGTTTTTAGGGTACTTTTTGGAGGATTATATGGCAATTTTAGGATTTCTAGGGGATTTTTGGGTATTTTTCGAGTATTTTAGGGCACTTTTAGGGTTTTTTGGAGTTTTTAGGAGATTTTCGGGTCTTTTTGGAGTATTTTAGGGCAATTATAGGGTTTTGGCGGTTTTTAGGGTATTTTTCGAGTATTTTAGGGCGATTTTAGGGTTTTTTGGGGTTTTTAGGGTATTTTTTGAGGATTATATGGCAATTTTATGGTTTCTAGGGGATTTTCGGGTATTTTTCGAGTTTTTTAGGGCACTTTTAGGGTTTTTTGGAGTTTTTAGGGGATTTTCGGGTCTTTTTAGAGTATTTTAGGGTATTTTTAGAGTATTTTAGGGCAATTTTAGGGTTTTTTAGGGTATTTTCCGAGTATTTTAGGGCAATTTTAGGGTTTTTTGGGGTTTTTAGGGGATTTTTGGGTATTTTTCGAGTATTTTAGGGCAATTTTGGGGTTTTTAGGGGATTTTAAGGACATTTGAGGCCGTTAAATGAATTTTTGGGGTTTTTGGTACCTGCAGGTCGCGGATCCGGATCCCCCAGCGCTGGCTCTGCTCCAGGGGGGGGAGGGGCAGCAGGAGGGGGCCGGGGGTCCCCAAATCTCCGCAGCGCCAGCCCAGGGGGGAGGGGGCGGCCGCGCCCCGAATTCGGAACCGGGCGGGGGGGGCCCCCCCCAGGGTCACCCCGATTTCCTCCAGCCACGCCCAGGGGCGCCCCGAGACCGGGAACCACGCCCGGCGCAGCAGGAACCTGGGGGGGCCCAAAATCAGGGAATGAAAACCAAAAATATGGAATTCCCAGCTTAAAAAACCTAAAAATCCCGAAATAAACCCAAAAAAATGGAATTCCCAGCTCAGAAAACCTAAAAGTCCTGAAATAAACCCAAAAAAAATGGAATTCCCAACTAAAAAAAACCGAAAAATCCCAAAATAAACCCAAAATATGGAATCCCCAGCTCAAAAAAAACGAAAAATCCCGAAATAAACCCAAAATATGGAATCCCCAGCTCAAAAAAACCAAAAAATACTGAAATAAACCCAAAAATATGGAATCCTCAGCTCAAAAAATCCAACAATCCCAAAAAATGGAATTCCTGCCCTAAAATCCCAGAAATTCCCAAAGGAATCCCAAAATAAACCAAAAAAAATGGAATTCCCAGCTCAAAAATCCTAAAAATCCCAAAATAACCCCAAAAAATTCAATCATCAGCTCAAAATTCCAAAAAATCCCAAAATAAACCCAAATATATGGAATTCCCAGCTCAAAAAAACCCCAAAATGGGAGATCTGCCCCAAAAATCACAAAGTAACCCAAAAAAACCCCAAAATAACCCCACAAAAGAGATTCTCAATTGCAAAAATGCCAAAATAACCCCAAAAATGGAATTCCATCTGAAAAATTCCAAAAAATCCCAAAATAAACCCAAAAATGGAATCCCCACCCCAAAAATCCTAAAAATGAGAGATCTGCCCCAAAAATCCCAAAATAATCCCAGAAATGAGAGACCTCCATAAAAAACCCCAAAAAAATCCCAATTTCACCTCCCCCACCCCCCAAAAACCCCCAAAACCGCCCAAAAAACCCCAAATTTCTCACGTGATGTTCAGGGGCTCCCCAAAAACCTCCGGGTAGCGCAGAACCAGCCTGGGGGGAGGGGAGGGGAGGGGGTCAGGGCACCCCAAAAACCCCAAAACAACCCCAAAAACACCCCAAAGGCCCCAAAACCCCAAAACCACCGCAAAACCACCCCAAAACCACCAAAAACACTAAACCACCCCAAAACCACCCCAAAAACCCCCAAAACCCCTAAACCACCCCAAAAACCCCAAAACCACCCCAAAACCACCCCAAAAATTCCTCCAGGACCCCAAAAACTTCAAAACCACCCCAAAAACCCCAAAAACCCCAAAACCCCAAATCCACCCTAAAAAAAACCTCCAGAACCCCAAAAACCCCAAAACTCCAAAACCCAACAACCCCAAACACCCCAAAACCCCAATAACCCCAAAAACCACCCCAAAAAAAACCTCCAAGACCCCAAAAACCCCAAGAGCCCAAAAACCTCAAATCAAACCCCAAAAATCCCAAATCCCCAAAACCCCCAAAACCCCAAAAACCCCCCAAACCCCAAAAACCCCAAAAACTCCCAAAACCCCAAATAAAACTCCCCAAAAACCCGCCAAAAACTCCCAAATTCCCCCAAATTTCCCCAAATCACCCCAAAACCTCCCAAATCCCCCCAAAAATCCCCCTGGGACCCCCAAAACTCCTCAAGAACCCCAAAATCTCCCCAAATCCCCTCTGGAACCCCCAAATCCTCCCCAAATTTGCCCCAAACACCCAAAATTTCCCCCAAACCCCCCCAAATTTGCCCCAAATTTCCCCCTGGGACCCCCCAGATCCCTCCAAAATCCTACTGGGACCCCCAAAAATTCCTCAAGAACCCCAAAATCCCCCCAAAACCCCCCTGGGACCCCCCAAACCCCCCCCAAATTTACCCCAAACCCCCCTCCAAATTTTCCTGGGACCCCCAAATTTCCCCCAAATCCCCCCAAAATCCTACTGGGACCCCTAAAACTCCTTAAGGACCCCAAAATCCCCCCCAAATCTCCTCTGGAACCCCCCAAAATCTCCCCAGAACCCCCCCAAAATCCCCCCAAATTTCCCCAAATCCCCCCAAAATCCCCTGGGACCCCCCAAATTTCCCCAAATCCCCCCAAAATCCCCCTGGGACCCCCCAGAATTCCTCAAGAACCCCAAAATCCCCCCCTAATCACCCCAAACCTCCCCAAATTTGCCCTGGGACCCTCCAAATTTCCCCAAAGTCCCCCCAAAATCCCCTCTAGGACCCCCCAAAACCCCACAAATCACCCCAAAACCCCAGTGAGACGCCCCCAAATTTCCTCTAAATCCCCCAAAATCCCACCTGGGACCCCCCAAATTTCCCCAAAATCCCCCCAAAATCCTAGTGGGATTCCCCAAAACTCCTCAAGAACCGCCAAATCCCCGCTGGGACCCCCTAAAACCTCCCCAAAATCCCCCCAAATCACCCCAAAACCCCTCAGAGACCTCCCAAATTTCCCCAAATCCCCCCAGAATCCCCCCTGGGACCCCCCAAAATTCCTCAAGAACCCCAAAATCTCCCCAAAATTCCCCTGGGACCCCCAAATTTCCCCCAAATTCCCTCAAACCTTCTCTGGGACCCCCCAAAACTCTTCAAGAACCCCCAAATCTCCTCTGGGACCCCCCAAAACCCCCCCAAATTTCCCCAAAATCCCCCCAAATTTGCCCCAAACCCCCCCAAATTTGCCCCAAACCCCCCAAACTCTCACCGGGCCTCGTGGGGGCTCCAGGAGGACCCCCCCAGATCCACCTCGGCCCCGCCCCCGAAGGTTTTTGGGGTGAGGTCCCCCCAAAACCCCACAAGGAACCCCAAAATCTTCCTTGGGACCCCCCAAATTTCCCCTAAATCTCCCCTGGGACCCCCAAATTTCCCAAATTTCCCCAAAATTCCCCCAAATTCCCCCCAAAATCCCCCCTGGGACCCCCAAATTTCCCCAAAATCCCCCTGGACCCCCCAAATCTCCTCTGGAACCCCCCAAAATCTCCCCAAAACCCCCCCAAAGTCTCCCCAAATCCCCCCAAATTTTCCCCAAACCCCCCCAAAATCCTACTGGGACCCCCCAAAACTCCTCAAGAACCCCAAAATCCCCCCCTAATCACCCCAAGCCTCCCCAAATTTGCCCTGGGACACCCAAATTTCCCCCAAACCCCCCCAAATTTGCCCCAAACCCCCCCAAAATCCCCCCGGGACCCCCCAAATTTCCCCAGATCACCCCAAAATCCCCCCGGGACCCCCCAATTCTCACCGGGCCTCGTGGGGGCTCCAGGAGGACCCCCCCAGATCCACCTCGGCGCCGCCCCCGAAGGTTTTTGGGGTGAGGTCCTGGGGGCGCCCCCCGAGCGTCACCGACAGGTTCCGGGCCCAGAGCAGAATTTTGGGGTCCCCCTGGGGGGGCCAGCGCAGGGGGGGGGGCTCGGCCGGCCCCTCCCCCACCCCCCGGGCCAGCAGCGCCCGCCGGGGACCCCCAAAATCCAGGGGGGGGGGAGGGGCGGGGGTCCTGCGGGGGGAAATCCCGAAATTAGGGGGGAAAGATGAAATTTGGGGGGGAATACCAAAATTGGGGGAAATCACAAAATTAGGAAGGGGATAAAGGGGGGGAAAATACTGAAATTGGGGGGGAAATCCAGAAATTAGGGGGGAAATCCGAAATTTGGGGGAGAAATCCTAAAATTTGGGGGAGAAATCCTAAATTTGGGGGGAAATCCCGAAATTAGGGGGAAAGCTGAAATTTGGGGGGGAAATACCAAAATTGGGGAGGGGATAAAGGAGGGGGACCCCAAAATTGGGGGGAACCCCAAAATTGGGGGGAAATCCGAAAATTGGGGGGCAATACCAAAATTGGGGGGGAAACCCCAAAATTGGGGAGGAAAAACTCGAAATTCGGGGGCGGGGAACCCCAAAATAGGGGAGAAAACCCCAAAATTGGGGAGAAACCCCAAAATTGGGGAGGGGTAAAGGGGGGGAACCCCAAAATTGGGGGGAAATCGAAAATCTGGGGAGGAAAACCCTAAAATTGTGGGGGGGGAACCAAAATTTGGGGGAAAATACCAAAATTTGGGGGAAAATCCTAAAATTGGGGAGAAAACCCCTAAATTTGGGGGGAAATCCCAAAACTGGGGAGAAAACCCCAAAATTGGGAAGGGGATAAAGGGGGGGAGCCCCAAAATTGGGGGAAAACCCAAAATTGGGGGGAAAACCCAAAATTTGGGGGGGAAAAAATCCCAAAATTTGGGGGAAAACCCCAAAATTGGGGGGGAAATCCCAAAATTGGGGGAAATCCTAAAATTGGGGAGGAGGGACCCAAAAATTTGGGGGAAATCCGAAAATTAGGGGGGGGAACCCTAAAATTGGGGGAGAAAATCCCCAAATTTGGGGAAGGGGGATCCCAAAATTCGGGGGAAATCCCAAAACTGGGAAGAAAAACCCAAAATTTGGGGGGGAAATCCCAAAGTTGGGTCACTCAGGGTCACTCAGGGGTCACTCAGTGGTCACTCAGTGGTCACTCAGGGGTCACTCAGGGGTCACTCAGGGTCACTTAGTGGTCACTCATTGGTCACTCAGGGGTCAGTGGTCACTCAGTGGTCACTGGTCACTCATTGGTCACTCAGTGGTCACTCAGTGGTCACTCAGGGGTCACTCAGTGGTCACTCAGTGGTCACTCAGTGGTCACTCTGGTCACTCACCGCCGGCCGTTCCGCGCTCAGCAGCGCCGTGTACGGGATCTGCTCCTCCTGCAGCACCCGCAGCACCTCCCCCAGCACCGCGTCTGTGCCCAAAAATGGACAAAATTCACCCAAAATTCACCCAAAATTAACCCAAATTCACCTCCCCCAGCACCGCGTCTGTGACCAAAAACGGTCAAATTTCACCCAAAATTCACCCCAAATTAACACAAAATTGTACCCCAAATTCACCTCCCCCAGCACCGCGTCTGTGACCCAAAAACGGGCAAATTTCACCCAAAATTCACCCCAAATTAACCCAAAATTCACCTCCCCCAGCACCGTGTCTGTGACCCAAAACCAGCCAAATTAACCCAAAATTCACCCAAAATTAACCCAAAAACTGACCCATAATCACCCCAAAATCACCCCAAATTCACACCAAAATCCTCCAGAAATTCACCCCAAAAATCCCCAAAATCCACGCCAAAATTCACCCCAAAACTGTCCCCAAATAAACCCCAAAACGCCTCAAAATCCCCCAAATTCACCCCAAAATCCACCCCAAGCTCACCCCAGTCCCTCCCAGTCCCCCCCAGTCCCTCCCAGTCCGTCCCAGTCCCTCCCAGTCCCCCCCAGTCCCTCCCAGTCCCTCCCAGTCCCCCCCAGTCCCTCCCAGTCCCCCCCAGTCCCTCCCAGTCCCTCCCAGTCCCCCCCAGTCCCTCCCAGTCCCCCCCAGTCCCCCCAGTCCCCCAGTCCCTCCCAGTCCCTCCCAGTCCCCCCCAGTCCCTCCCAGTCCCTCCCAGTCCCCCCCAGTCCCTCCCAGTCCCTCCCAGTCCCTCCCAGTCCCTCCCAGTCCGTCCCAGTCCATCCCAGTCCCTCCCAGTCCCTCCCAGTCTCACCGTTCCTGCTCAGGGCCTCTCTGGCTCCCATCAGGCCGGAGCTGAGGGGGGAGGGGAGAGTCAGGGGGGCACAGGGGCCCCGTGGGGTCTGTGGGGTCCCTACGGGGTCCCTATGGGTCTCTATGGGGTCTATGAGGTACCTATAGGGTCCTATGGGGTTCTATGGGGTCCCAATAGGGCAAAGGGTCCCTATGGGGTCTGTGGGGTCCCTACAGGGCCCTATGGGGTTCTATAGGGTCCTGTGGGGTTCTATAGGGCAGAGGGTCCCTATGGGGTCCCTATGGGGTCTCTGTGGGTCACTCCCGTGGTCACTCCCGTGGTCACTCTGGGGGTCCCTATACGATCTCTATGGGGTCACTCTGGGGGTCACTATAGGATTTCTATGGGGTTTCCATGGGGTCACACAGGGGGTCACTCTGGGGTCACTCCTGGGGTCTCTGGGGGTCACTCCCCTGGTCACTCGGGGGGTCCCTATAAGGTCTCTATGGGATCCCTATGGGGTCACTCTGGGGGTCACTATAGGATTTCTATGGGGTCACTCTGGGGGTCACTCTGGGGTCACTATAGGATTTCTATGGGGTTTGCATGGGGTCACTCTGGGGTCACTCGGGGGGTCGTTAAAGGATCTCTATGGGGTCTCTGTGGGTCACCCTGTGGGTCACTCTGGGGGTCACCCTGTGGTCACTATAGGATTTCTATGGGGTTTCCATGGGGTCACACAGGGGGTCACTCCTGTGGTCATTCCCGTGGTCACTCTGGGGTCTCTGGGGGTCACTCCTGGGGTCACTCAGGGGGTCACTCAGGGGGTCATTGCCACGGTCACTCCTGTGGTCACTCTGGGTCACTCCTGGGGTCACTCAGGGGGTCCCTATGGGATCTCTGGGGGTCACCCTGTGGTCACTCCCGTGGTCACTCTGGGGTGTCTGGGGGTCACTCCTGTGGTCACTCTGGGTCACTCACTGCCTATGGGGCAGCCCCACCAGCAGCAGGCTGGGCTGGGGGTCACTCTGGGGGTCACTCTGGGGGTCACTCTGGGGGTCACTCTGGGGGTCACTCCTGTGGTCACTCTGGGTCACTCACCGCCTGTGGGGCAGCCCCACCAGCAGCAGGCTGGGCTGGGGGTCACTCTGGGGGTCACTTTCGGTGTCACTCTGTGGGTCAGTGCCGTGGTCACTCGGGTGGTCACTCGGGTGGTCACTCCGCGGCTCTGTCCGGTTCAGCCTCAGCCCGGCCAGGGCCCCCCCGGGCAGCCGCAGGGGGGGAGGGGCGCCCAGGAGGCGCTGCAGGGTCAGGGGCAGCGCGGCCGCGGCCGCTCCGGCCACCGCGGGGACGGTCAGCGCTGACCCCGCCGACCCCAGGGCGTCCTGGAACAGAAAATCCCAAAAATCCCAAAATTTACCCCAAATCCCACCGCGGGGATGGTCAGCGCTGACCCCGCCGACCCCAGGGCGTCCTGGAACGGAAAATCCCAAAATTTACCCCAAATCCCACCCTGGGACGGTCAGCGCTGACCCCGACGACCCCAGGGCATTTTAAAACCACAAAAATTATCAAAACCAGCAAAGTTATCCCAAAAAAAACCAAAAATGACCCCAAATCCCATCCCAGGAACGGTCAGCGCTGACCCCAAGGAACCCCGGAACAGAAAAATCCAAAAAAACCTGAAATTACCCCAAAAAACCCAAAAAAACCCCCAAAAAACCCCAAAAAGCCCCAAACCCCACTGAGGGCGTGGTCAGCGCTGACCCCAGGGCAACCTGGAACGGAAAAACCCCAAAAATCCCAAAAATTACCCCAAATCCCACCCTGGGGACAGTCAGCGCTGACCCCAAGGAACCCCGGAACAGAAAAACCCCAAAACACCTGAAATTACCCCAAAAAAACCCCAAAACCCCCCCAAAACCCCAAACCCCACTGAGGGCGTGGTCAGCGCTGACCCCAAGGAACCCCGGAACAGAAAAATCCAAAAAAACCCCAAAATGACCCCAAAATACCCCAACCCCCATTGCCCCTCCCCCACCCCATTACTCCTCCCCCCACTGTCCCCTTCCCCATTAACCCCTCCCCACCCCCATTGGCCCCTCCCCCACTCCCATTGACCCCTCCCCCACTGCCCCTCCCCCACCCTACTGACCCCTCCCCCCACCCCGCCACCATTAACCCCTCCCTCACCCCATTGCCCCTCCCCATGGCCCCTCCCCCTCCCTCATGGGCCCCTCCCCCACCCCACTGACCCCTCCCCCTCCCCCATTAACCCCTCCCTCACTCCATTGCCCCTCCCCATGGCCCCTCCCCCTCCCTCATTGGCCCCATCCCCCACCCCATTGACCCCTCCCCCACTGACCCCTCCCCCACCCCACTGACCCCTCCCCCACCGCCCCTCCCCATTGCCCCTCCCCTTCCCCATTGCCCCTCCCCCTTTCCCGTGTCCCCTCCCCCTTTAGCCCCTCCCCCCCATTGCCCCTCCCCCTCCCCCTTTAGCCCCTCCCCTTACCCCTCCCCCACCTGCAGCCGGGGGAAGGCTCCGTGGGCTCCGAACGCCGTGAAATCCTCCAGGGACAGCTGGGGGCGGGGCCAGAGACGTCAGGGGCGGGGCCAGACCGATCAGGGGCGGGGCCAGACCGATCAGGGGCGGGGCCAGAGCCATCAGGGGCGGGGCCAGAGCCATCAGGGGCGGGGCCAGACCGATCGGGGGCGGGGCCACAAACATCAGGGGCGGGGTCAGAGCCATCAGGGGCGGGGCCACAGACATCAGGGGGCGGGGCCAGAGCGATCAGGGGCGGGGCCAGACCGATCAGGGGCGGGGCCACAGACATCAGGGGCGGGGCCAGAGCGATCAGGGGCGGGGCCAGACCGATCAGGGGGCGGGAACACGCTTGGGGGCGGGGCCAGGGCCGAGGGGCGGAGCCAGACTGATCAGGGGGCGTGGCCACGCTCGAGGGGGCGGTGCCACGCTAAGGGGGCGGGGCCTAATCGAAGGTTTAAGGAGGGAATTTTGGGGGTTTTTTTTGTGTTTTGGGGTTTTTGGTTTATTTTTTGGGGTTTTTTTTTGGATTTTAGGGTTTTTGGAATTTTTGGAGGATTTTTTTGGGGTATTTTAGGATTTATTTTATAGTTTTTGGGGGGTTTTGGGTTTTTTGGGGGGTTTTGGGTTTTTTTGGGGGGTTTTGGGGGGTTTTGGGGTTTTTTGGGGGGTTTTGGGGGTTTTGGGGTTTTTTTGGGGGGTTTTCGGGAGTTTTTTAGGATGTTTTTGGGATTTTTGTGGGGGGTTTATTTTGGCTTTTAGGGCAATGTTTGAGGCTTTTTGGGGTTACTTTAGGTTTATTTTTTAGGGCTATTTTAGGATATTTTTGTGGTTATTTTAGGATATTTTTAGGATATTTCTGGGGATATTTAAGGATTATTTTGGGATATTTTTGGGGCTATTTCAGGATATTTTGGGGGATATTTCAGGGTTATTTTGGGATTTTTTGGGGATATTTCGGGGTTATTTTGGGACATTTTTGGGGATATTTCAGGATATTTTTAGGATATTTTTGGGGCTATTCCGGGGTTATTTTGGGATATTTTTTGGGATATTTCAGGATATTTTTTGGGATATTTCAGGGTTATTTTGGGATATTTTTGGGGGTATTTCAGGATATTTTTAGGGATATTTCAGGATATTTTATGATATTTTTGGGGATATTTCGGGGTTATTTCAGGATATTTTGGAGGATATTTCAGGATATTTTTGGGGGTATTTCAGGATATTTTTAGGATATTTTTGGGGTTATTTCAGGATATTTTGGAGGCTATTTCAGGATTATTTTGGGATATTTTTGTGGATATTTCAGGGTACTTTTAGGTTATTTTTGGGGTTATTTCAGGGTTATTTTGGGGGGTATTTCAGGGTTATTTTGGGATATTTTTGGGGATATTTCAGCAGTATTTTGGGATATTTTTGGGGGTATTTCAGGGTTATTTTGGGATATTTTTGGGGCTATTTCAGGATATCTTGCGGGATATTTCAGGGTTATTTCAGGATATTTTTGTGGATATTTCAGGGTACTTTTAGGTTATTTTTGTGGATATTTCAGGATTATTTTGGGACATTTTCGGGGCTCTTTCGGGGGTTTTGTGGCTGACCTGCTCCTGCAGGAAGAGCAGCACCGTGCGCGGGCCCCGGCGCAGCCCCGGCTCCAGCAGCTCCTGCAGCTCCGGCTCCGACAGCGCCCGGCCCGCGGGGAGGGACTGGGGGGGCCACAGCGACCTGGGGGACCCCAAAAATAGAACAGGGACCCCAAAATCAGACAGGGACCCCAAAATCAGTCAGGGAACCAAAAATTATCCACAGGGACCCCAAAAATCAGACACGGACCCCAAAATCAGCCAGGGAACCCAAAATCAGCCAGGGAACCCACAGTTATCCACAGGGACCTAAAATTATCCACATGGAACCCCAAAATCAGCCAGGGAACCCCAAAATTATCCACAGGGGACCCCAAAATCAGCCAGGGAACCCCAAAATCAGTCAGGGAACCCAAAATCAGCCAGGAACCCAAAGTTATCCACAGGGACCCCAAAACCAGCCACAGCGACCTGGGGGACCCCAAAAATCAGACACGGACCCCAAAATCAGCCAGGGAACCAAAATTATACACAGGGACCTAAAATTATCCACAGGGACCCAAATTATCCACAGGAACCCCAAAATCAGCCAGGGAACCCCAAAATTATCCACAGGGATCCCAAAATCAGTCAGGGAACCCCAAAGTTATCCACAGGGACCTAAAATTATCCACAGGGACCCCAAAATCAGCCAGGGAACCCCAAAATCAGCCAGGGACCCAAAATTATCCACAGGGACCCAAAATTCCCCCAGGAAACCCAAAATTATGTGCAGGGACCCCAAAATTCCCCCAGGGAACCCCAAAATCAGCCAGGGAACCCAAAATCAGCCACAGGGACCTGGGGGACTCCAAAATTATCCACAGGGAATCCCAAAATTCCCCCAGGGAACCCAAAATTATCCTGGGAACCCAAAAATCAGCCACAGGCCCCAAAACCTCCCAAATTCCCCCCAAAAGACCCCGGAGACCCCCCCAAAACACCCCCGAGGCCTCTCATCCCCCCCAATCCCCTCAAAACTCCCCAAAAGAGCTCCAAATTCCCCCAAAAATGGCCCAAATTTCCCATAAAATACCCCAAATCTCCCCAGGCTCCTCTGAGGGATTTTTCTGAGGCCTCTCAGTGCCCCCAAATCCCTTCAGCCCCCTCAAATCTCCCCAAAAAATGGCCCAAATTGCCCCCAAAAGAGTCCAGATCCTCCCCAAGCTCCCCTGAGAGTTTTCTGAGGCCCCTCAGTGCCCCTAAACCCCCTCAAATCTCCCAAAATTCCCCAATTTCCCGCCCCAAGGACCCTAAACCCCCTCAAAATCCCCTCAAACCTCCCAAAAAACCCAAATTCCCGCAAAAGACCCTAAAATCCCTCAAAACCCCCTGAAAGTTCCCCAAAAAAAACCCAAATTCCTCCCAAAAAATGGCCCAAATTCCCAATAAAATACCCCTGAGCCTCCCCCCAAATTCCCCTGAGGGTTTTCTGAGGCCCCTCAGTGCCCCTAAACCCCCTCAAATCTCCCAAAAATTGCCCTATTTCCCCCCCCCAGGACCCTAAACCACCTCAAAATCCCCTCAAACCTCCCAAAAACCCCCAAATTCCTGCAAAAGACCCTAAAATCCCTCAAAACTCCCTGAAATTCACCCAAAAAAGCCCCGAATTTCATCAAAAGACCCCTGAGACCCCCCGCCCCCCCCCTCAAATCTCCTGAGGGCTTTTCCTGAGGCCACTCAACCCCCTCAAATCCCCCTCAAACCTCCCAAAAAAGCCAAAAATCCCACAAAAGACCCTAAAATCCCTCAAAACCCCCTGAAATCTCCCCAAAAAAGCCACAAATTTCATCAAATATCCCTGGGACCCCTGCGCCCCCCCCCCCCACCATATCTCCTGAGGGCTTTTCCCGAGGCCCATGAACCCACTCAAATCCCCCTCAAACCTCCCAAATACCCCCAAATTCCCGCAAAAGACCCTAAAATCCCTCAAAACCCCCTGAAATCTCCCCAAAAAAGCCCCGAATTTCATCAAAAGACCCCTGAGACCCCCCGCCTCCCCCAAATCTCCTGAGGGCTTTTCCTGAGGCCCCTGAATCCCATCAAATCCCCCTCAAACCTCCCAAAAAAACCCCAAATTCCCGCAAAAGACCCTAAAATCTCTCAAAACCCCCCTGAAATTTCCCCAAAAAAGCCCCGAATTTCATCAAAAGACCCCTGAGACTTGCCCCCCCCCCCCATATCTCCTGAGGGCTTTTCCCGAGGCCCATGAACCCCCTCAAATCCCCCTCAAACCTCCCAAAAACCCCCAAATTCCCGCAAAAGACCCTAAAATCCCTCAAAACTCCCTGAAATTCACCCAAAAAAGCCCCGAATTTCATCAAAAGACCCCTGAGACCCCCCCGCCCCCCCCCCCCCCCATATCTCCTGAGGGCTTTTCCTGAGGCCCCTGAACCCCCTCAAATCCCCCTCAAACCTCCCAAAAACCCCCAAATTACTGCAAAAGACCCTAAAGATCACTCAAAACCCCCTGAAATTTCCCCAAAAAAGCCACAAATTTCATCAAATATCCCTGGGACCCCTGCGCCCCCACCCCCCCAAATCTCCTGAGGGCTTTTCCCGAGGCCCCTGAACCCCCTCAAATCCCCCTCAAATCCCCCTCAAATCCCCCTCGAAGCCCGGCCCGGCTCCCCCCGGTCCCGGCCCGGACCTCTCGGTGCTCCAGACCAGCAGCGGGAGCCGCGGGGCCGCCGCGACCGCCGGGCCCGGCCCGAGGGCGGCCAAAGCCCCGATCAGCGCCCACAGCGCGGCCGCCATCTTAGAGCGTCCCCCTCAGGGGTGGCCACGCCCCCTCGGCGCCAGAGGCCACGCCCCCTCCGCGGCGGCCACGCCCCCCCGCAGTAAACACTGCGCTTGAGCGCGCGGAGGCCACGCCCCCTTGGCGCGGGAGGCCACGCCCCCCCCGCAATGCACACGGCACTTTGGCGCACAGGGCCACGCCCCCTGTGCAGAGACCACGCCCACCCGCAACATTGACCACGCCCCCTCACCGCAGTGGCCACGCCCCTCTCTCAAAATCCCCTCAGAGATCGCGAAAATCCCCAAAATTCCTCCAGGTAACCCAAAATCCCCTCAGAGATCCCCAAAATCCCCAAATTCCTCCAGGGAAACCCAAAATCCCCTCAGTGATCCCGAAAATCCCCAAAATTCCTCCAGGTAACCCAAAATTCCCTCAAGGAGCCCCAAAATTCCCTCAGAGGCCCCAAAATCCCCTCAGGGACACCAAAATTCCCTCAAGGACCCCAAAATTCCCTCAGGGAACCACAAAATCTCCTCAGGGATACCAAAATCCCCTCAAGGAGCCCCAAAATTCCCTCAAGGACCCCAAAATTCCCTCAGGGATCCCGAAATTCCCTCAGGGATCCCGAAAATCCCCAAAAATCCTCCAGGGAAACCCAAAATCCCCTCAGGGATCCCAAAAATCCCACAAGGAACACCAAATTCCCTCAGGGAAACCCAAAATCCCCAGAGGGATCCAAAAATCCCCTCAGAAACCCCAAAATTACCCCAGAGACGCCAAAATCCTCTCAGAGAGCCCCAAAATTCCCAGAGGGATCCAAAAATCTCCTCAAGGAGCCCCAAAATCCTCTCAAGGAACCCCAAAATCCCCTCAGGGATCCCGAAAATCCCCAAAAATCCTCCAGGGAAACCCAAAATTCCCTCAGAGATCCCCAAAATCCCCAAAAATTCCTCCAGGGAAACCCAAAATTCCCTCAGGGAACCCCAGAAAACCCAAAATTCTTCCAGGGAAACCCAAAATCCCCTCAGAGATCCCCAAAATCCCCAAATTCCTCCAGGGAAACCCAAAATCCCCTCAGGGATCCCCAAAATCCCCAAATTCCTCCAGGGAAACCCAAAATCCCCTCAGGGATCCCGAAAATCCTCAAAATTCCTCCAGGGAAACCCAAAATCCCCTCAGAGATCCCCAAAATCCCCAAAATTCCTCCAGGGAAACCCAAAATTCCCTCAGAGATACAAAAATCCTTAAAATTCCTTCAGGGAAACCCAAAATCACCTCAGGGAACCCCAGAAAACCCAAAATTCCTCCAGGGAAACCCAAAATCCCCTCAGAGATCCCAAAAATCCCCAAAATTCCTCCAGGTAACCCAAAATTCCCTCAAGGAGCCCCAAAATTCCCTCAGGGAACCACAAAATCTCCTCAGGGATACCAAAATCCCCTCAAGGAGCCCCAAAATTCCCTCAAGGACCCCAAAATTCCCTCAGGGATCCCGAAATTCCCTCAGGGATCCCGAAAATCCCCAAAAATCCTCCAGGGAAACCCAAAATCCCCTCAGGGATCCCAAAAATCCCACAAGGAACCCCAAAATCCCCTCAGGGATCCACAAAAATCACAAACAGAACCCCAAAATTCCCTTGAGACCCCCAAAATCCCCAAAATAACCCCAAAAATCCCCTCAGGGACCCCAAAATCCTCTCAAGGACCCCAAAATTCCCTCAGGGAACCCCAAAATCCCCAGAGGGTTCCAAAAATCCCCTCAGAAACCCCAAAATTACCCCAGAGACACCAAAATCCTCTCAGGGAGCCCCAAAATTCCCAGAGGGATCCAAAAATCTCCTCAAGGAGCCCCAAAATTCCTCCAGGGAAACCCAAAAACCCCTCAGAGATCCCAAAAATCCCCAAAATTCCTCCAGGGAAACCCGAAATCCCCTCAGAGATCCCGAAAATCCCCAAAATTCCTCCAGGGAAACCCAAAATTCCCTCAGGGAACCCCAGAAAACCCAAAATTCCTCCAGGGAAACCCAAAATCCCCTCAGGGATCCCGAAAATCCCCAAAATTCCGTCAGGGAACCCCAAAATCCCCTCAGGGAACTCCAAATCCTCTCAGGGAACCCCAAAATCCCCTCAGGGAACCCCAAAATTCCCCTCAAGGAACCCCAAAATCCCCTCAGGGATGCCAAAAATCCCCAAAATTCCTCCAGGGAAACCCAAAATTCCCCTCAGGGACCCCAAAATCCCAAAGAATTCCCAATTTGCCCAGAATTCCGCCTTCCGCGCTCAAGAACTGCAACTTCCGGCTCCTTTTTCTCCCAAAAATTCCATTTTTGGGTCGTTTATTGAGGGTCTTTGGTGAGATCAAAGTGCAAAAAACCATCCCAGTTCCATACTGGGAGCACTGGGCCCATCCCAGTCCCATACTGGGAGCACTGGGCCTATCCCAGTCCCATACTGGGAGCACTGGGCCCATTCCCAGTTCCATACTGGGAGCACTGGGCCCATCCCAGTTCCATACTGGGAGCACTGGGACCATCCCAGTCCCATACTGGGAGCACTGGGCCCATCCCAGTTCCATACTGGGAGCACTGGGAGGGCACTGGGGCCATACTGGGAGCACTGGGCCCATCCCAGTTCCATACTGGGAGTACTGGGACCATTCCCAGTTCCATACTGGGAGCACTGGTCTCTCAGGGCTCCCCGGTGCCGTTCCCAGTGCTCCCAGTTCCATTCCCAGTGCTCCCAGTTCCATTCCCAGTGCTCCCAGTCCCATTCCCAGTGCTCCCAGTCCCATTCCCAGTGCTCCCAGTTTGCCCAGTTTGCCATTCCCAGTGCTCCCAGTTCCCCATTCCCAGTGCTCCCAGTTCCCCATTCCCAGTGCTCCCAGTTTCCCATTCCCAGTTCCATACTGGAAGCACTGGTCTCTCAGGGCTCCCCGGTGCCGTTCCCAGTGCTCCCAGTGCTCCCAGTTCCATACTGGTCTCCCTCGCCGTCCCCGTCCCGCACCAGCAGCACCGGCCCCAGGCCCTCGGTCAGAACCTCCAGGAACTCCAGGTCTGAGCGGTCAAGGGCCACCAGTACGGACCAGTATGGACCAGTAACAACCAGTAACCTCCCAGTAACACCAGTGACCCCCCAGTAACCACCAGTAACCCCCAGTGACCTCCCAGTGACCACCAGTAACCTCCCAGTAACTCCCAGTAACCCAGTGCCGTCCCAGGGACCTCCCAGTAACCCCCAGTAACACCAGTGACCTCCCAGTAACCTCCCAGTGACCTCCCAGTAACCACCAGTAACACCAGTAACCACCAGTACCCCCCAGTAACACCAGTGACCTCCCAGTGACCTCCCAGTAACCCCCAGTAACCTCCAGGAACTCCAGGTCTGAGCGGTCAAGGGCCACCAGTGACACCAGTACGGACCAGTATGGACCAGTAACCCCCCAGTAACTTCCCAGTAACACCCAGTGCCTCCCAGTACCCCCCAGTGCCCTCCCAGTTCCCCCAGTGCTCCCAGTTTCCCCCATTTCCAACTTTCCCCCCCAATTCCTTCTCCCCCCATTCCCAATTTCCCATTTTCCCATTTCCCCCAATTCTTCCATTTTTCCCCCATTTTTTCCCATTTTTCACAATTTTTTCCCAATTTTTACAATTTTTTCCCATTTTCCCATTTCCCCCAATTTTTCCATTTTTCCCCATTTTCCCAATTTTTTCCCTCATTTTTCCCCGTTTTTCCCTCCTTTTTTTTTCCATTTCCCCCATTTTTCCCATTTTCTTCCCATTTTTCACATTTTCCCCATTTTTTAAATTTTTCCCAATTTCCCCCATTTTTTTCCCATTTTTTCCCATTTTTCCCCATTTCCCCCAATTTTCCACAATTTTTTCCAATTTTCTCCCATTTTTTCCGATTTTTTCCCAATTTTCCCAATTTTTTCCCCCATTTTCCCTCGTTTTCCCTCTTTTTTTCCCATTTTTCCCCATTTTCCCCCATTTTCCCCAATTTTTCTCCACTTTCCCCATTTTCCCCATTTTTTCAAATTTTTCCCAATTTCCCCACATTTTTTCCCAATTTTCCCCATTTTTTTATTTTTCCCCATTTTCCCCATTTTCCCCCCATTTTCCCCAGTTTGTTTCTCATTTTTCCCAATTTTTTCCCTATTTCCCCCATTTTTTCCCAATTTTCCCCATTTTTTCCAAATTTTCCCCATTTTTTCCCAATTTTTTCCCAATTTTTCGCCCATTTTCCCCATTTTTTCCCAAATTCCCGGTTTTTCACCCCAATTCGGATACAGTTCTCCATGGGCCAGGTTCCCCATTCCCGTATTTCCCATTTTCCCCAAATTCCCGGTTTTTCACCCCAAATTTCGGATACAGTTCTCCATGGGCCGGGTTCCCCATTTTTTCCCCAATTTTCCCAAATTCCCCGTTTTTCACCCCAAATTTCGGATACAGCTCTCCATGGGCCGGGTTCCCCATTCCCACATTCCCGTTTTTCCCAATTTCCCCGTTTTTCACCCCAAATTTCGGATACAGTTCTCCATGGGCCGGCGGGGCCGGGGTGGGGGAGGGGGCGGCAGGTCCAGCAGCACCAGCCCCGCCCCCCCCGAGCGCCCCAAGATGGCGGCGTTGAGGCGCTCGGCCGCGTGCATGCGGCGGACATTCGCCCTGGGACCAGTATAAACCAGTATGGACCAGTATGGACCAGTATAGACTGGTATAAACCAGTACAAACCAATATAAACGAGTATAGACTGATATATACCAGTACAGACTGATATATACCAGTATAAACCAGTATAGACTGATATAGACCAGTATAAACCAGTATGGACCAGTATGGACCACTATAGACTGATATAAACCAGTATAGACTGATATATACCAGTATAACGGCCGCGTGCATGCGGCGCACGTTCGCCCTGGGACCAGTATAAACCAGTATGGACCAGTATAAACCATTACAGACCAATATAAACCAGTATGGACCAGTATAAACCAGTATAAACCAATATAGAACTAATATGTACCAGTATAGACCAGTACAGACCAGTATGGACTGATATATACCAGTATGGACCAGTATGGACCAGTATAGACTGGTATATACCAGTATAAACCAGTATGAACTAGCATAAACCAGTATAGACTGATATACACCAGTATAGACCAGTATAAACCAGTATAGACTGATATAAACCAGTATAGACTGATAATACCAGTATAAACCAGTATGAACCAGTATAGACCAACGTATACCAGTATAAACCAATAAAAACCAGTATGGACTGGTATAAACCAGTATAGACCAATATATACCAGTATAAACCAGTATAGAGCAGTAACCACCAGTGTCTCCTTTCAGCCTCCCAGTCCCTCCCAGTCCCCCCCAGTCTCTCCCAGTATAAACCAGTATAAACCAGTATAAACCAGTTCCCTCCCAGCCCCCCCCAGTCCCTCCCAGTGCCCCCCAGTCCCTCCCAGTATAAACCAGTATAAGGCCGCGGTGTCACTCACGCGCTGGGTCCCCGCCGGGTCTCCCCTCCCCCCCCCTCCTCCTCCTCGGCGCTCGGCGGCTGCGAGGGGGCGGGGCCTCCCTGTGACGTCATCGGGGAGGGGAAATGACGTCACGGGGGCGGCACCGCAACCTCGGGGGGATGACGTCACAGGGAGGGGCGGTGACATCATTGGGGAGGGGAAATGATGTCACAGGGAGGGCGGTGACATCATGGGGATCACGATGATGTCATGGGGAGGGCGATGATGTCACATGGGTGGCGATGACATCACAGGGAGGATTATGATGTCATGGTGAGGGGCAATGACGTCATGGGGAGGGGCGATGACATCACAGGAAGGATGATGACATCATGGGGAGGACGATGACATCATGGGGGGGCGATGATGTCACGGGGCACCTATGACATCATAGGGATTGCGATGACATCACAAGGAGGGTGATGATGTCACAGGGGTTGCAATGACATCATGGGGAGGGGCGATGATATCACAGGAAGGATGATGACATAGCGGGGAGGGTGATGATGTCATAGGGGCGGTGATGACGTCACGGGAAGGGTGATGATGTCATAGGGGCGGCAATGATGTCATGGGGAGGGGCAATGACGTCATGGGGGTGGCAATGACGTCACAGGGAGGGGCGATGACATCACGGGGGAGGGCAATGATGTCACGGAGCGGCGATGACCTCTCGGGGAGGGGCAGTGACATCACGGGGAGGGATGATTACATCATGGGGGAGGGCGATGACATCACAGGGGTGGCGATGACATCACGGGGAGGGTCAATGACATCATGGGGTTGCAATGACGTCACGGGGGAGGGCGATGACGTCACAGGGGTTGTGATGACGTCACCTGTGCGCGGCGCAGCTGCCGCAGCATCTGAGAGCGCTGCTCCATCATCAGCGTCCGCTCGTAGGTGTACTCAGAGACCGCCGAGTCGTGCTGTGGGTACAGACCGGTATGGACCAGTATAAACCAGTATGGACCAGTATAAACCAGTATAAACCAGTACGGACCAGTATGGACCAGTATGGACCAGTATAAACCAGTACGGACCGGTATGGACTAGTATGAACCAGTGCACACCCGCCTGGCTGTGTCCCAGCTGTGCCCAGGTGTGCCCAGGTGTGTTTTAGGATACCCCAGGTGTGCGCCAGGTGTATTTTGGGGTACCCCAGCTGTGCCCAGATGTGCCCAGGTGTGTTTTTGGGTACCCAACGTGTATTTTGGGATGCTTCACGTGTGCCCAGCTGTGTTTTAGGATACCCCAGGTGTGCCCAGGTGTGCCCAGGTGTGCCCTGGTGTGCCCAGCTGTGCCCAAGGTGTATCCCAGGTGTGCCCAGGTGTTCCCAGGTGTCCCCAGGTATGTTTTGGGGTACCCCAGCTGTGCCCAGGTGTATCCCAGGTGTGCCCAGCCGTGCCCAGGTGTGCCCAGCTGTGCCCAGGTGTATTTTGGGGTACCCCAGGTGTGTCCCAGGTGTGTTTTAGGATATTCCAGGTGTGCCCAGGTATGCCCATGACACACCCAGGTGTGTCCCAGGTGTGCCCAGCCGTGCCCAGCCATGCCCAGGTGTATTTTGGGGTACCCCAGCCGTGCCCAGGTGTGCCCAGGTGTGCCCAGGACATGCCCAGCCGTGCCCAGCCGCACTCACCAGCTCCACCACCTCCACCTGGGCGGGCAGCGCCCGACGTCGCGCCACCGCCTCCAGCAGCCGCCGCAGCCGCTCACTGTTGTCCTCCAGCAGCGCCACCGTGAACAGCCGCAGGGGACACCCCCGCCACACCTGGGGCAGGGACAGTGAGAGCCCAAAATCCACAAAATTCACCCCAAAAATCCCCCAAAAAATCCCCAAAATTCACCCCAAAATACCCCCAGAAATCCCAAAAAAATCCCCCAAAAATCCCCCAGGAACAGCCGCAGGGGACACCCCCGCCACACCTGGGGCAGGGACAGGTGAGAGCCCAAAATCCACAAAATTCACCCCAAAATCCCACCAAAAATCACAAAATAATCCCCCCAAAAAATCCCAAAAAAATCCCCCCCAAAATCCCCCAGGAACAGGCGCAGGGGACACCCCCGCCACACCTGGGCAGGGACAGGTGAGAGCCCAAAATCCACAAAATTCACCCCAAAATCCACCAAAAAATCCCCCAAAAAAATCCCCCAAAAATCCCCCAGGAACAGCCGCAGGGGGCAACCCCACCACACCTGGGGGAGGGACAGGTGAGACCCCAAAATCCCCAAAATTCATCCCAAAATCCCACCAAAAATCCCAAAAAAATCTCCCAAAAATCCCCAAAAATCCCCCCAAAATCCCCCCAAAAATCCCCACAAAAACCCCACAAAAATCCACTCAAAAATCCACCCAAAATCCCCCCAAAATCCCCCCAAAATCCTCCAAAAAATCCCCCAAAAAAATCCCCCAAAATCCCCCCAAAAATCCCCAAAATCCCTCAAAAATCCCTCCAAAATCCCCAAAATCTCCCCAAAAAAATCCCCCCAAAAATCCCCCAAAAAATCCATAAAATCCCCCCAAATTTCCCCAAAAATCCCCTATTTCCACAGGCCCCGCCCCATTCCCCGCAGCCCCGCCCATTTTTCGCAGCCCCGCCACATTTCCTGCCGGTCCCGCCCCATTTCTTTTGGCTCCGCCCCATTTTCTTCAGCCACGCCCCTTTCCCACCAAACCCCGCCCCTTCCCCACAAACCACGCCCCATTCCCCACAAACCCCGCCCCATTCCCACCAAACCCCGCCCATTTCTCCCAAACCCCGCCCCTTTCCCCATAAACCCCGCCCCTTCCCAAGCCCCGCCCCTTACCGGGTGCTGGCGCAGCAGCAGCGGCAGCAGCGTCAGGAGCCGCCCGGTGCCCACGAACCACCAAACATCGAGTGACAGCCCCGGGGACATCCCTGGGGACACCCCCGGGGACACCCCCGCTGGGGACACCCCCGGGGACACCCCCGGCACCGGCCCGCCCTTGGACACCAGCAGCGCCCGGCCCGCCGAGCCCGCGGCACGCAGCAGCTCTGGGGACAGAGGGACAGGGACGGGGGGACAGAGGGACAAGGGGACAGGGACAGGGGGACAGGGATGGGGACAGAGGGACAGGGACAGGGACAGGGGGACAGAGGGACAAGGGGACAGGGACAGGGACAGGGACAGAGGGACAGGGACAGGGACAGAGAAGACAGTGGGACATGGGGACAGAGCAACACCACAATGTCCCCAATGTCCCCATTGTCCCCAATGTCCCCAATCCCCCCAATGTCCCCAATGTCCCCAATCCCCCCAATGTCCCAAATGTCCCCAATGTCCCCAATCCCCCCAATGTCCCCAATGTCCCCCCAATGTCCCCAATCCCCCCAATGTCCCCAATGTCCCCAATGTCCCCAATGTCCCCAATGTCCCCAAATGTCCCCAATGACCCCAATCCCCCCAATGTCCCCAATCCCCCCAATGTCCCCAGTGTCCCCAATGTCCCCATGTACCCAATCCCCCCAATGTCCCCAATGTCCCCCAATGTCCCCAATCCCCCCAACACCCCCAATGCCCCCAATGTCCCCAATGTCCCCAGTGTCCCCAATGTCCCCAATGTCCCCAATGTCCCCAATGTCCCCAATGTCCCCATCGATGTCCCCAATGTCCCCCAATGTCCCCACTGTCCCCTCAATGTCCCCAATGTCCCCAATGTCCCCAATGTCCCCAATGTCCCCAATGTCCCCACTGTCCCCAATGTCCCCAATCCCCCCAATGTCCCCCTGTCCGTACCCACGAACTCCCGCGCGCTCCCGCCGGGGTCGGCCCGTGCCCGCCATGTTCTGGGCCAGCCCAGCAGAACCGCGTTGGGGCGGAGCGCGCCGAGCCCCGCCCCCTGCACGAGCGCCGCCAGCCCCGCCCCCCGCTCTGACGTCACCAGCACCTGCACGAACCCCCGCGCGCCTGCGCGGGACAGCGCCGCACGCAGGGCCTGGGGGGGATTACAGTGACACAGTGACACAGTGACACAGTGACAATGACAGTGACACAGTGACACCCACAGGGACACAGGGACACCCATAGGGACACAGGGACAGCGCCGCCCGCAGGGCCTGGGGGGAATGACACCCACAGGGACACAGTGACAGTGACAGTGACAGCCACAGGGACACACACAGGGACACAGGGACACAGGGACAGCGCCGCCCGCAGGGCCTGGGGGGAATTACAGTGACAGTGACACAGTGACACCCATAGGGACAGTGACACAGGGACACAGTGACAGTGACACCCATAGGGACACCCACAGTGACAGTGACAGTGACACAGTGACACCCACAGGGACACAGTGACACCCATAGGGACAGTGACACCCACAGTGACACCCACAGTGACACAGGGACAGCGCCGCCCGCAGGGCCTGAGGGGAATGACAGTGACAGTGACACAGTGACACCCATAGGGACAGTGACACACAAAGTGACAGCGCCGCCCGCAGGGCCTGAGGGGAATGATAGTGACAGTGACACAGTGACACAGTGACAGTGACAGGGACACAGGGACACAGTGACACCCACAGTGACACAGTGACACCCACAGTGACAGTGACAGTGACACCCACAGGGACACAGTGACACAGTGACACCCACAGTGACAGTGACAGTGACACCCACAGGGACACAGTGACACAGTGACACCCACAGGGACAGCGCCGCCCGCAGGGCCTGGGGGGAATTACACCCACAGTGACACAGTGACACCCATAGGGACAGAGTGACAGTGACACCCACAGTGACACAGTGACACCCACAGGGACACAGGGACAGCGCCGCCCGCAGGGCCTGGGGGGAATTACAGTGACACAGTGACACCCACAGTGACACCCACAGTGACACAGGGACAGCGCCGCCTGCAGGGCCTGGGGGGAATTACAGCGACAGTGACAATGACACTGTGACACCCACAGTGACACCCACAGTGACAAAGTGACACAGTGACACCCACAGGGACAGCGCCGCCCGCAGGGCCTGGGGGAAATGACAGCGACAGTGACACCCATAGGGACACAGTGACAGTGACACCCACAGTGACACAGTGACACAGTGACACAGTGACACCCACAGTGACAATGACACAGTGACAGTGACACACACCCACAGGGACAGTGACAGGGACACAGGGACAGCGCCGCCCGCAGGGCCTGGGGGCAATGACAGCGACAGTGACAGTGACACGGGGACACAGTGACAGTGACACGGGGACAGGGCCATGGGGACAGGGGCACCATCCCAGCCCAGCCCCCACCCCAATAACCCCCGATGACCCCCCATGACCCCCATAACCCCTCCATGACTTTGTGACCCCCTGTGACCCCTGACGCCCATGATGACCTATGACCGTCCCATGACCCTGTGACCTCCTGTGACCCCCATGATGACCCCATGACCCCCATGACCCTCCCATGACCCTGTTACCCCCTGTGACCCCTAACCCCCTGTGACCCTGTTGCTCCGTGACCCCTGACCCCCATGATGACCCCCAATGACCCCCATAACCCCCCCATGACCCTCCCGTGACCCTGTGACCCCCATGATGACCCCATGACCCCTTAAGCCCCCCATGACCCCTCCATGACCCCCCGTGATCCCCCCCGACCCCCATGACCCCTGACCCCCCCGTGACCCCCTGTGACCCCCCCATGACCCCTGACCCCCCATGACCCCCGGTGACTCCTGACCCCCCGTGACCCCCCATGACCCCGGTGACCCCCATGACCCCGTGACCCCCATGACCCCCCATGACCCCGGTGACCTCTGACCTTCTCAGTCTGTCGAGCCCGGGGCAGGTCCTGGGGCAGGGCCCCGCTCAGCCACGCCCCCAGCACGGTCAGGCCCCGCCCCCCCCCCTGCAGCTGCGCGGCCAGAACCAACAGCTCCGGCCGGGGGGGGGGGGCCGGGGGGGCTCCGGGGCTTGGACAGCACCAACAGCTGCGGCCTGGGGGGAGGAGAGAGAGACGGGGTCACTGAGGGGTCACGGGGTCACAGCGGGGTCACGGGGCTTGGACAGCACCAACAGCTGCGGCCTGGGGGGGGGAAAGGAGAAATGGGGTCACCGAGGGGTCACGGGGTCACGGGGGGGTCACGGGGCTTGGACAGCACCAACAGCTGCGGCCTGGGGGGGGGAAAGGAGAAATGGGGTCAGTGAGGGGTCATGGGGTCATGGAGGGGTCACAGGGCTCGGACAGCACCAACAGCTACGGCCTGGGGGGTGGAGAGGGAGACGGGGTCACTGAGGGGTCACCGAGGGGTCACGGGGTCATGGGGGGTCACAGGGACATGGGGACATGGGGGGTCATGGGGGGCGGCCAGAACCAACAGCTCCGGCCGGGGGGGGGGGGCCGGGGGGGCACCGGGGCTTGGACAGCACCAACAGCTGCGGCCTGGGGGGGGAGGGAGAAATGGGGTCACTGAGGGGTCACTGAGGGGTCACGGGGTCATGGGGAGGTCACGGGGCTTGGACAGAACCAACAGCTGCGGCCTGGGGGGGGGAGGGAGAAATGGGGTCATGGGGGGTCACCGAGGGGGTCACGGGGTCATGGGGGGTCATGGGGAGATTTTTGGGGGTATTTTGGGGATATTTTGGGGATATTTTTGGTGGTATTTTTGGGATATTTTGGGGGTATTTTTGGGGATATTTTGGGGATATTTTTGGGGATATTTTTGGGGTATTTTGGGGATATTTTGGGGATATTTTGGGGATATTTTGGGGTATTTTGGGTCTCACCTGAGGCTGGGGGGCGGGGGTTTTGGGGGATATTTTTGGGGATATTTTGGGGGGTCTCACCTGAGGCTGGGGGGCGGGGGTTTTGGGTATATTTTGGGGATATTTTTGGGTATATTTTGGGTATATTTTGGGCTATTTTGGGGTCTCACCTGAGGCTGGGGGGCGGGGGTTTTGGGGGTATTTTGGGGATACTTTGGGGATACTTTGGGGATATTTTGGGGATATTTTGGGGATATTTTGGGGTCTCACCTGAGGCTGGGGGGCGGGGGTTTTGGGGCTATTTTTGGGGATATTTTGGGCTATTTTGGGGCTATTTTGGGGGTATTTTGGGTTATTTTGGGGTCTCACCTGAGGCTGGGGGGCGGGGGCCGGCCATCCTCCAGCCGCAGCAGCGCCAGCCGGGCGGCGCTCAGGGACAGCCCCCGCAGCCCCTCCCCCCACTCGCTCTGCGCGCTGCAAGGGGGGGGAGGGGCGGGAGCTCAGGGGGGGGGCAGGACCCCCCAGGTGAGGGTGGGACCCCCCAGGTGTGTCCCGGGTGTGTCCCCACCCCCAGTTGTGTCCCCAGGTGTATTTTGGGGTACCCCAGGTGTGTCCAGGTGTCCCCACGTGTGTCCCCATGTCCCCCAGCTGTCCCCAGGTGTCCCCAGGTCTCCCCAGGTGTGTCCCAGCTGTCCCCAGGTGTGTCCCTGTCCCCCCCCAGGTGTCCCCAGCTGTCCCAGGTGTCCCCAGTGTGTCCCAGGTGTGTCCCCAGCTGTGTCTCAGGTGTCCCCAAGTGTGTCCCCACCCCCAGTTGTGTCCCCAGGTGTATTTTGGTGTACGCCAGGTGTGTCCCCATGTCCCCCAGGTGTGTCCCAGGTGTGTCCCTTTCCCCCCCAGGTGTGTCCCAGGTGTCCCCAGGTGTGTCCCCACATCCCCCAGGTGTGTCCCCAGATGTGTCCCCAGCCCCAGGTGTGTCCCAGGTATCCCTAGCTGTCCCCAGGTGTCCCCAGGTGTGTCCCCAGGTGTATTCTGGGGTACTCCAGGTGTGTCCCCATGTCCCCCAGATGTCCCCAGGTGTCCCCAGGTATCCCCAGGTGTGTCCCCACATCCCCCAGGTGTGTCCCCAGATGTGTCCCCACCCCCAGGTGTGTCCCCAGGTATGTCCCTGTCCCCCCCCAGGAGTACCCAGGTGTGTCCCAGCTGTGTCTCAGGTGTCCCCAGGTGTGTCCCCAGACGTGTCCCCATCCCCAGGTGTGTCCCAGGTGTGTCCCCAGCTGTCCCCCCCTGTCCCAGGTGTCCCCACCTGCGGAACTCGAGGTATTTGTAGGCGGTGGCGCCGATGCCCAGGGCCAGCAGGGCGCAGTGCCAGCAGGTGACAAACATCAGGGACAGGCAGAGGGTGGCACCGGCCAGGGACAGCGACCTGGGGTCAGGGGTCACGGGGGTCACTCGGGGGTCAGTCAGGGGTCATGGGGGTCACTCAGGGTCAGGGGTCACGGGGGTCACTCACGGTCACTCAGGGTCACTCAGGGTCACTCAGGGGTCACTCAGGGGTCACTCGGGGTCACTCGGGGTCACTCATTGGTCATTCATTGGTCACTCATTGGTCATTCATTGGTCACTCAGTGATCACTCAGTGGTCACTCAGGGGTCACTCAGTGGTCACTCAGGGGTCACTCAGGGGTCACTCAGGGTCATTCAGGGGTCAGTCAGGGTCACTCAGAGGTCACTCAGGGGTCACTCAGTGGTCACAGGGACAGTAACACGAGGACACTGGAAGGTCAGTGGTCACAGGGGTCACTCAGGGGTCACTCAGGGGTCACTCAGGGGTCACGCACTGACCAGTGGTACCAGGGGCACCGCGGGCTCCAGCTGGGCAGTGACACAGTGACACGGGGACATGGGGACACTGGGAGGTCAGGGGTCACACGGGGGTCACAGGGGTCACACGGGGGTCACTCAGGGGTCACGGGGTCACACAGGGGTCACACAGAGGTCACTCACTGACCAGTGGTACCAGGGGCAGCGCGGGCTCCAGCCGGGCGTGGGCAGCAGCCCCTGCAGGGCACAGGCCAAGTTCAGCCCCAGGTAGGAGGTCAGGCACATCCTGGGGGTCAAAGGTCACCGTGAGGTCACCGCGAGGTCACAGGGAGGTCACAGGGAGGGGACAGGGAGGGGACAGGGAGGGACACGCACACGGACAGCACCGGGGCCAGCAGGTCCAGAGAGCCCAAGAGCACCCCCAGAGCCGCCGTCGTCACCGTGGCCAGAGAGGGCCCGAAGCGACCCCGGGACAGAGCCTGGGGACAGCAATGGGGACATTGGGGACATTGGGGACAATGGGGACATCAGGGGGACATTGGGGACATTGGGGGGATTGGGGACATTGGGGACATTGGGGACACTGGGGACACTGGGGACATTGGGGACATCAATGGGGACATTGGGGACATTGGGGACATTGGGGACATCGATGGGGACACTGGGGGGATTGGGTACATTGGTGACATTTGGGGACATTGGGGACATTGGGGACATTGGGGACAGTTGGTACATTGGTGACCTTTGGTGACTTTTGGTGACCTTAGGTGACCTTTGGGGACACTGGTGTCACTTGGGGACATTTCGGGAAATTTGGGGACATTGGGGACACTGGGGACATTGGTGACATTTGGTGACCTTAGGTGACCTTTGGTGACATTGGGGACATTGGGGGTGCATTGGTGACCTTAGGTGACCTTAGGTGACCTTAGGTGACATTTGGGGACATTGGTGACAGTGGGTATATTGGTGACACTTGGGGACATTTGGGGACATTGGGGACATTGAGGGGACACTTGGTGACCTTAGGTGACCTTAGTTGACCTTAGGTGCCCCCGGTGTCACTTGGGGACATTTTGGGAAGTTTGGGGACATTGGGGACAATGGTGACATTGGGGACATTGGGGGGACACTGGTGACCTTAGATGACCTCAGGTGACCTTAGATGACCTTTGGTGACCCCAGGTGACCCCGGCGAGACTCACGCGCGGCAGCGGCAGCGCGCGGCTCCGGCCCAGCGCGCGCAGCATCCGGGCCCCGCCCACCATGGCCTGGAGCCCCGCCCCCCCCGCCGAGAGCCCCGCCCCCAGCAGCGGCAGCCACGGGCCCGGCCAGGCGGCGGCGGCGGCGACCGGGACCCCGGCCAGGGCGGCTCCGAACCTGCGGGACACGGGGGGACAGCGTGGGGACAGTGTTCGGGGTGTGGGGACAGCGTGGGGACAGCGTGGGGACACTGCCCGGGGCACGGGGACAGCGTGGGGACAGGGGCCGGGGTGTGGGGACAGCGTGGGGACAGTGTGCGGGACACGGGGACAGCGTGGGGACACGGGGACAGCGTGGGGACACGGCCCGGGGCACAGGGACAGCGTGGGGACACGGCCCGGGGCACGGGGACTGCGTGGGGACACGGCCCGGGGCGTGGGGACACTGCCCGGGGCACGGGGACAGCGTGGGGACACGGCCCGGGGCACGGGGACAGCGTGGGGACACGGCCCGGGGCACGGGGACTGCGTGGGGACACGGCCCGGGGCACGGGGACTGCGTGGGGACAGCGTGGGGACCCTCCCTGGTGACATCAGGGACTCCCCGGTGACATTGGTGACACTGGTGACACACAGAGGTGACATTGGTGACATGGGTGACACAGGTGACATGGGTGACACCGTTGGTGACACATGTGACACGGGTGACACACAGAGGTGACATGGGTGACACCGTTGGTGACACGGGTGACACTCACTTGTCCCGCAGCAGTGTCCCCTCCACACCGGCCCCGAGCAGCAGCGCCGCGCTCAGGTCTGCCCGTCAAGGAAAGCCCCAAAAATCCCCCAAATCCCCCAAAAATCCCACCCAGAACCCCAAAATCCCCCAAAAATCCCCCCAAATCTCCCCAAAATCCTCCAAATCCCCCCAAAATCCCCCCAAAATCTCCCCAAAATCCCCCCTAAATCCCACCTAGAACCCCAAAATCCCTTAAAAATCCCCCAAAAATCCCACCCAGCACCTCAAAATTCCTTGAAATACCCAAAAATCTCCCCAAAATCCCCCAAAATCCCACCCAGCACCCCAAAATCCTCTAAATCCCCCCAAAACCCCCCCAAAATCCCCCCAAATTCCCCCAAAATCCTCCCACATTTTGGGGTCCCCCCAGATTTTGGGGTCCCCCCCCCATTTGGGGTGGGATACAGCTCAGGGCTGTGGCTGTGGCAGCCCCGACGCTCCCGACCGGGACCGAGCGAGAGACGTCCCCGAGCTCAGCGCAGCGACTGCACCCCCACAGCACCCCTGGGGCACCCCAAAATCATCCCGAACCCCAAAATCCCCCACAGCACCCCTGGGGCACCCCAAAATCATCCTGAACCCCAAAATCCCCCTGGGGGCACCCCAAAATCCCCCACAGCACCCCTGGGGCACCCCAAAATCATCCCGAACCCCAAAATCCCCCACAGCACCCCTGGGGCACCCCAAAATCCCCCTGAACCCCAAAATCCCCCTGGGGCACCCCAAAATCCCCCTGAACCCCCACAGCACCCCTGGGGCACCCCAAAATCATCCCGAACCCCAAAATCCCCCACAGCACCCCTGGGGCACCCCAAAATCCCTGAACCCCAAAATCCCCTACAGCACCCCCGGGGGCACCCCAAAATTACCTTAACCCCAAAATCCTCCTGGGGGCACCCCCAAATCATCCCGAACCCCAAAAACTCCCTGGGGGCACCCCAAAATCATCCTGAACCCCAAAATCCTCCTGAACCCCAAAGTTTCCCTTCCCCATTTTGGAGTCCCCCAATTTTGGGCCACCCCTCCCCACTTTGGGGTCCCCCCAACCCCGAATTTGGGTCCCCCCCCATCCCCATTTCGGGACCCCCACCCTGAATTTGGGGTCCCTAATTTTGGAGTTCCCCACCCCTGATTTTGGGGATCCCCACCCCAAATTTTGGGATCCCCGCCCCAATTTTGGGGTCCCCCCACCACAAATTTTGGTTCCCCAATTTTGGGGTCCCCACCCCGATTTTAAGGGCCTCCAGCCTGAATTTGGGATCACCAATTTTGGGGGCCCCCCCACCCCAGATTTTGGGATCCCCACCCCAATTTTAGGATTCCCCCCCCAATTTCGGGGCCCCCGACCCCTAATTTGGGATCCCCAATGTTGGGGTCCCCACCCTAAATTTTGGGGTCCCCCTCTACCTGAATTTGGGGTTGGCCCCCACCCCGAATTTGGGTCCCCCCCATCCCCATTTCGGGATCCTCATCCTGAATTTGGGTTCCCCAATTTTGGGCTCCCCACCCCAAATTTTGGGGTCCCCCCCCAATTTTGGGGTCCCCACCCAGTTTTTGGGGTCCACCATCCCAAATTCGGGGTTCCCAATTTTGGGGTCCCCACCCAATTTTGGGCCCCCCCACCCCAATTCTGGGGTCCCCCCCCAATTTTGGGCCCCCCCCTCCCGCATTGGGGTCTCACCCGAGGCCGCGGGGAGGCTCAGCCCCAGCAGGGCCCCGAAGGAGGCGTCGGCCCCGCCCACTTCCGGCTCAGGCCCCGCCCCCTGCCCCGCCTCCGGGGGGCGTGGCCACAGGTTCCCTGGGGCGGGGCAGGAGTCAGGCCACGCCCACAGCCCCACCCCAACACCCTGGGGTGACCCCAACCACTGTGACCCCACCGTGACCCCACCGTGACCTCACGGTGACACCCCATGACCTCTCCGTGACCCCACCCCCTGTGACCCCACTGTGACCTCAGGGTGACCCACCCCCTGTGACCCCACCGTGACCCCCCATGACCTCTCCATGACCCCTCTTCATGTGACCCCACCATGACCCCTCAATGACCCCAGGGTGACCCCACCCCCTGTGACGCCACCGTGACCCCCCATGACCTTTCTCTGACCCCACCTCATGTGACCCCACCATGACCCCTCAATGACCTTCGGGTGACCCCAGCCGCTGTGACCCCACCGTGACCTCGAGGTGACCCCCATGACCTTTCTGTGACCCCACCTCATGTGACCCCATCATGACCCCTCCATGACCCCTCAATGAATTTGGGGTGACCCCTGCCCCTGTGACCCCACCGTGACCCCGAGGTGACCCCACACCCTATGACCCCACCGTTACCTCAGGGTGACCCCTCATGACCCCTCCATGACCCCACCTCATGTGACCCCACCATGACCCCTATATGACCTTGGGGTGACCCCACCCACCGTGACCTTCCCGTGACCCTGAGGTGACCCCACCCCACCCCTTTGACCCCACCCCAAATGTTTCCTGGGGGGGCGGAGCCCTAGGGCCGCAGTGGGCGTGTCCTGCACTGACCACACCCACCCCATCCCCACCAAGGGGGGCGGAGCCAACCCCTCCCTGTGGGCGTGTCCTTCAGTGACCACACCCCCTAACCCCAACCAGTGGGCGTGTCCCGCCGTGGCCCCGCCCACTCACGTGCCAGCAGGGCGGCGCTGGGCCGGGGCAGGGCGGGCAGCGCCCCCCGCAGGCCGGGGGAGGCGTTTTGGGGCGCGGGGGGCGCGCAGGGCGGCAGGGGCTGCCCGGTTTGGGGGGGCAGGCACAGCCTGGGGGGGGTAACAGCTCGTTAGCGCTCATTAGCATCTCATTAGCATGTCATTAGCGATGGGGGCGTGTCACTCACGCGTGCTCGGGGCGCAGGGCGCGGCGCAGCGTCCCCGCCTGCAGCGCCAGCAGCGCCAGCAGCAGCCCCGCCGGGCCCAGGGGCGTGGCCACGGCACGGAGGCGGGGCGGGGCCACAGACCCCGCCCCCAGCAGCGCCAGCAGCCCCGCCCCGTAGCCACGCCCCATGTTCAGCCGGCCCCAGCGGCCACGCCCACCGAGCTCCGCCCCACCTGGGCTCAGGTACACCTGTGGGGGGAGGGGACGGACAGGTGACAGGCTCCACCCACACACCCCTCTGCCCCGCCCACCCACCCCTCTGCCACGCCCACTTCAGCAGCCCTGACCACGCCCATCTCATTAGCCCCGCCCATCTCCCTTAGGCCCTGCCCCTCACCAGCAGTTTAGCCCCGCCCATCCCATTAGCCCCGCCCAGCTCCCTTAGGCCCCACCCACCCCCAGCATCACTTTAGCCCCCCCATATCATTAGCCCCGCCCATCTCCATTAGGCCCCGCCCCTCACCAGCATTACTTTAGCCACACCCATCTCATTAGCCCCGCCCAGCCCTTAAACCCCTCCCCTCACCATCAGATTGGCCCCGCCCATCCCTTAGGCCCCGCCCCTCACCAGCAGATTGGCCCCGCCCATATAATGGCTCTTCCCCATTAGGCCCCGCCCCCATCAGAAGCAGCTTAGCCCCGCCCATACCGGCCCTGCCCCTTTAGATTCCGCCCATCACCAGGAACACCTTGACCCCGCCCTGTTAGGCCCCACCCACCCCTGTCAGGCCCCGCCCCTCAGCAGCAGATTGGCCCCACCCATCAGCCCCGCCCCATTAAGCCCCGCCCACCCACGTTAGGCTCCGCCCCTTACCATGCTGAGCTCGGCTCCGCCCCATTAAGCCCCGCCCCCCTCAGGCCCCGCCCTCACCATGAGGAGCTCGGCCCCCTCCAGCGCTGCTGCCCCACCCCGTTAAGCCCCGCCCAGCCCCATTAAGCCCCGCCCCTCACCATGAGGATCTCGGCCCCGCCCAGTGCATCAGCCCCGCCCCTTTAGGCCCCGCCCATCCCAATTAAGCCCCGCCCCTCACCATGAGGCTCTCGGCCCCGCCCCATTAAGCCCCGCCCCTCTCAGGCCCCGCCCTCACCATGAGGATCTCGGCTCCGCCCAGCGCTGCTGCCCCGCCCCATTAAGCCCCGCCCCCCTCAGGCCCCGCCCTCACCATGAGGAGCTCGGCCCCGCCCAGCGCGGCGGCTGCGGCCCCGAAGGCGGCGCTCAGGAAGCCGCAGAGCCCCACGGCCCCTCCGGCCTCGGGGCCCAGCGCCCCCGACAGCAGCGACAGCGCCCCGCCCCCTGCGTGACGTCACGGGGCGGGGTCAGCAAGGACACGCCCACAGGGCAGAGCCACCCCGGCCCGTCCCCTCCCCCCACCGCTCACCGGGGTCCAGCCCGTTGGTGGCCACAGCGCTCAGGGACACGGCGGTCAGCAGCATCTGCGGGGGGGGATGGTGACCCATGACCTCTGACCTCTGACCTTGCTGACCTCTGACCCTGCTGACCCCACCGACCCCATTGACCCCACTGACCTCTGACCCCTCTGACCCCACTGACCTCTGATCTCACCCCCACAGAGCACCCAGAACATGACCCCGAACCCAGGTGTGTGCCCAGGTGCCCCCAGGTGTTCCCATGTGTGCCCAGGTGTCCCCAGGTGTGCCCCAGGTGTGCCCAGGTGTGTCCCCAGGTGTGCCCAGGTGTGCTCAGGTGCCCCCAGGTGTGCCCAGGTGTGCCCAGGTGTGCCCAGGTGTGCCCAGGTGTGCCCATGTGTGCCAGGGTACCCCCAGGTGTGACCCCAGATGTCCCCAGGTGTGCCCAGGTGCCCAGGTGACTCACGCAGGTGCCCATCAGTGCCCCGATGGCGGCGGTGCCCAGCACCCCGCCCTGCCCCAGACCCCAGGTGTTTCCCCAGGTGTGCCCCAGGTGCCCCCAGGTGTGCCCAGGTGCCCCCAGGTGCCCCAGGTGACTCACGCAGGTGCCCATCAGCGCCCCGATGGCGGCGGTGCCCAGCACCCCGCCCTGCCCCACCACCCGGGTGTGCCCAGGTGTCCCCAGATGTCCCCCCAGGTGTCCCAGGTGCCCCAGGTGACTCACGCAGGTGCCCATCAGTGCCCCGATGGCGGCGGTGCCCAGCACCCCGCCCTGCCCCAGACCCCAGGTGTGCCCAGGTGTGCCCAGATGTCCCCAGGTGTGCCCAGGTGTGCCCCAGGTGACTCACGCAGGTGCCCATGAGGGCCCCGATGGCGGCGGTGCCCAGCACCCCGCCCTGCCCCACCACCCAGGGCAGGCGCAGCAGCAGCACCAGCCCCAGCAGCGACTGCAGCGACGGCGCCAGCACCCCCCGCAGCGTGCCCAGGGACCTGCGCTGTGGGGAGAGGGGTCAGATAGGGGTCACACAGGGGTCACACAGGGGGCACGGGGTCAGACTGGGGTCACACAGGGGTCACACAGGGGTCACACAGGGGTCAGCACCCCCCGCAGCGTGCCCAGGGACCTGCGCTGTGGGGTCACACAGGGGGCACGGGGTCACACAGGGGTCACACGGGGGTCACACAGGGGTCACGGGGTCACACGGGGGCACACAGGGGTCACGGGGTCACACAGAGGTCAGCACCCCCTGCAGGGTGCCCAGGGACCTGCGCTGTGGGGAGAGGGGTCACACAGGGTTCACGGGGTCACACAGAGGTCAGCACCCCCCGCAGCATGCCCAGGGACCTGCGCTGTGGGGTCACACAGGGGGCACGGGGTCACACAGGGGTCATGGGGTCACACAGGGGTCAGACAGGGGTCACACAGGGGTCAGCACCCCCCGCAGCGTGCCCAGGGACCTGCGCTGTGGGGTCACACAGGGGGCACGGGGTCACACAGGGGTCACAGGGTCACACAGGGGTCATGGGGTCACACAGGGGTGGTGTGTCCCCAGGTGTGCCCCCATGTCCCCCCAGCTGCCCCCGGGTATCCCCAGGTGTCCTCATGTCCCCAGGTGTCCCCAGGATTCCCCAGCAGTCCCCAGGTGTGTCAGGTGTGTCCCAGGTGTCCCCCAGGTGTCCCAGGTGTTACCCCATCTGTCCCCAGCAGTCTCCAGTTGTCCCCAGGTGTGTCCCAGGTCTCCTCCTGTCCCCCAGGTGTTTCCCCATGTCCCCAGGTGTGTCCCCAGGTGTCCGCAGGTGTGTCCCAGGTGTCCCCAGGTCTGTCCCCCTGTCCGTCAGCTGTCCCCCAGCTGTCCCCCAGGTGTGCCCAGGTGTCCTCCCAGCTGTCCCAGGTGTCCCCCCAGGTATGTCCCAGCAGTCCCCAGTTGTCCCCATGTCCCCCAGGTCTCCCCATGTCCCACAGGTGTGTCCCAGGTGTGCCCTCATGTCCCCCCAGCTGTCACCAGGTGTGTCCCCAAGTGTTTCCCCATGTCCCCAGCTGTCTCCAGGTCTGTCCCCCAAGGTGTGTCCCCAGGTGTTCCCATGTCCCCCAGGTGTCCCCTGCTGTCCCCAGGTACACCCAGGTCTGTTCCCATGTCCCCCAGCAGTCCCCAGGAGTCCCAGGTGTGCCCTCAGCTGTCCCCAGCTGTCCCCAGGTGTGTCCCCCTGTCCCCCAGCTGTCCCCCCAGGTGTCCCCAGGTGTCCCCAGGTGTGCCCAGGTGTGTCCCCAGGTGTGTCCCCATGTCCCCCCATGTCCCCCAGGTCTCCCCAGTGTGTCCCAGGTCTGTCCCCCTGTCCCCCAGGTGTCCCCAGTTGTGCCCAGGTGTGCTCAGGTTTGTCTCCAGCTGTCCCCAGGTCTGTCCCCAGGTGTCCCCATGTCCCCCCCAGTTGTCCCCCAGCTGTCCCCAGCTGTCCCCCAGCTGTCCCCCTGTCCCGTTGGTGTCTCACGGCGCTGCCGCAGTCGCTGTCGGGGCTCAGGGCGCTGTACGGGGCCATCCTGCGCAGCAGCGCCGGAACGCGCGGACGGACAGACAGCTCCTCCTGGGGGCAGGGACACAGGGCGGGGTCAGGGCGGGGCCAGAAAGGGCCGGGTCAGGGCGGGGTCAGGGGCGGGGTCATGGGGACAGACAGACAGCTCCTCCTGGGGCGGGGCCGGAAAGGGCGGGGTCAGGGGCGGGGCCACGGGGGGCGGGGCCATGGGGACGGACAGACAGCTCCTCCTGGGGGCGGGGCCACAGGGCGGGGTCAGGGGCGGGGCCATGGGGGTGGGGTCATGGGGACGGACAGACAGCTCCTCCTGGGGGTGGGGCCATGGGGGCGGGGTCAGGGGCGGGGCCAGGGCGGGGTCAGGGGCAGGGGTAAGCAGGGAGGGGCTGAGGGGCGGGGCTAATGAGGGTGTGGTCAGTGGGTGGGGCTAAAGAGGGTGGGGCTGAGGGTGGGGCAAATGGGGGTGTGGTCAGGGGGTGGGGCTAAGGAAGGCGTGGTCAGTGGCAGGGCCAAGGAGGGCGTGGTCAGGGCGTGGCTCAGGGGCGGGGCTAATGAGGGAGGAGCTAAGGGGAAGGCTGAGGGGGCGGGGCTAATGAGGGTGTGATTAGTGGGTAGGGCTAAGTTGGGTGGGGCTGAGAGGTGGGGCTAAGAAGGGTGTGATCAGTAGGTGGAGCTAAGATGGGAGTGGCTGAGGGGCGGGGCTAATGAGGGTGTGGTCAGTGGGTGGGGCTAAGGAGGGTGGAGCCAAATGGTTAGCAGGCTCAGGGGGTGGGGCTAAGGAGGGTGTGGTCAGTGGGTGGGGCTAAGGAGGGTGATGTTCAGGGGGCGTGGCTCAGAAGGGAGGGGCTCAGGGGGTGGGGCTAAGGAGGGCGGGGCTCAGGGGGTGGGGCTAAGGAGGGAGGGGCTGAGGGGTGGGGCTAAAGAAGGGTGATGTATAGGGGGTGGGGCTAATGAGGGAGGGGCTCAGGGGTGGGGCTAAGGAGGGAGGGGCTAAGGGGCAGGGCTGAGGGGGCGGGGCTAATGAGGGTGTGGTCAGTGGGTGGGGCTAAGGAGGATGTGATCAGTGGGTGGGGCTAAGTTGGGTGGGGCTTAGGGGGTGGGGCTAAGTTGGGTGGGGCCCTGGAGGTGGGGCTAAGGAGGGAGGGGCTCAGGGAAGAGTGGGAGGGGCCAGAGATGGAAAGGGGAGGAGCTAAAGGGGCAGGACAGGAGTGGGGGCGTGGCCAATGAGGGTGGGGTTGAGGGGCGTGGCCTTGCAAAAAAAGGTGCTGTGTGGGGGCGGGGCCAGGAAGGGGCGTGGCCAATGAGGGGTGGGGCTCACAGGGGGCGTGGCCTCACCTCAAACAGCGCCAGGGGTCGCTCCCCCCCCACCCCGCCCAGGTTCGGAGGGGCGGGGCGAGCCCTGGCCCCGCCCCCCGGGCCCCGCCCATGCGAGGTGGGCGTGGTCTCGGTGGGGGAGGGGCTGGAGTCCGACTGGGGGGGGCGGGAGCTGGAGGGGGAGGGGGGCTCGGGGCTGCTGTCCGAAAGCTCCGCCCCCCGCGCCCCTGGCCACGCCCCCGGCACCGCCATGACGTCAGCGGGGAGGCTGTGACGTCAGCAGGGCGGCGATGACGTCACCATCGCGGCGCCTGCAGGAGGAAATCAGCGGAGTCGGCGGGAAAAGAGACATTTTCAAGGCAAAATTCACTTGTTTTGAGGGAAAATTCAATTTTTTTGGAGGGAAAATTCACATTTTTCGAGAGAAAATTCACATTTTCCCAGGGAAAATTCGCATTTTTGGAAGGAAAATCCACGTTTTTCAAGGGAAAAGTCACGTTTTCCAAGGGAAAAATTCGCATTTTTCCAAGGAAAATTCACATTTTTGGAAGGAAAATTCCCACTTTGGGGTCACCTCACCCCTTTTTTGGTGCCAGAATTCACTTTTCCAGGTGCCAACCCCACCCTTTTTTGGGACCAAACTCCCATTTTTTTTGGGCCAAATCCCTCCTTTTTCTTGATCCATCTCCCCTCCTCCATCCGGCCCCATTTTGGGTCAAAATTGCCCAATTTTGGGGCCAGTTCATCCCTTTTTGGTGCCAAAATTCACTTTTCCAGGTGCCAACCCCGCCCTTTTTTGGGACCAAACTCCCGATTTTTGGGGCCAAATCCCTCCCTTTTCTGGGTCCATCTCCCCTCTTCCCTTAGCCCCATTTTGGGTTAAAATTCCCCAATTTTGGGGCCAGTTCACCCCTTTTCGGTGCCAAAATTCACTTTTCCATGTGCCAACCCCACCCTTTTTTGGGACCAAACTCCCGATTTTTGGGGCCAAATCCCTCCCTTTTCTGAGTCCATCTCCCCTCCTCCATCCGGCCCCATTTTGGGTCAAAATTCCCCAATTTTGGGCCCAGTGCACCCCTTTTTTGGACCAAATTTCACTTTTCCAGGTGCCAACCCCACCTATTTTGGGGCCAAACTCCCGGGTTTTTTTGGGCCAAATCCCTCCTTTTTCTGGATCCATCTCCCCTCCTCCATCCGGCCCCATTTTGGGTTAAAATTCCCCAATTTTGGGTTAAAATTCCCCAATTTTGGAGTTCCCCCCCCCATTCCCATCCCGGTACCTGAAGGGGGGCGCGGGGGTGGGGCCGGCGCGCGCTGCCCTGGCCACGCCCCCCGCGCGCTGCCGCAGGGGGCGTGGCGACGCAGGGGGCGTGGCTTGGTTGGAAGGGGGCGTGGTTTAAATGCAGTTTGTGCTATGTATGGGCGTGTCTATGCTAATAAAGGGGCGTTGTTATGTAAATGAACGTGGCTTTGAAAGCCCCGCCCCCCGGTGCCCTCCGACCCCAGAGGTGAGAGCGCCCAGATTTTAACGGATTTACAGGAAAAAAAATCAAAAATATTAGAGGGGAAAAATCCATCGTTTCAGTGGGAAATCGATGTTTTTGCATGGAAAATGGGAATTTTGGGAAAAAAACCCATACTTTCAGTGGAAAAATCAGTATTTTTGCGGGGAAATTAGGAATTTTGGGGGAAAAAATCCATAGATTCAGTGGGAAAATCAGTATTTTTGCAGGGAAAATGGGAATTTTGAGGAAAAACCCATACTTTCAGTGGGAAAATCTGTATTTTTGCAGGGAAAATGGGAATTTTGGAGGCAAAATCAATACTTTCAGTGGAAAATAAGTATTTTTGCAGGGAAAATGGGAATTTTGAGGGCAAAACCCATACTTTCAGTTGTAAAATCTATATTTTTGCTGGGAAAATGGAATCCACGGGGGGGAAATGGTGTTTTTGAGTTGAAAATGCGAGAAAATGGAGCCTGTGAGGAGAAACTGGGGGGAAATTGAGCCTTTGAGGAGAAAATGGTGGAAAATTGAGCCCACGAAGTGAAATTGGGGAGAAATTGAGCATTTGAGGTAAAAATGGAGAGAAATTGAGCTGGTGAGGTAAAAATGGAGGAAAAAAGAGGCCTTGAGGGGAAAATGGAGCCTGAGAGGGGAAAATGGGAAGAAATGAGCCCGTGAGGGGAAAATGGGGAGAAATGGTGTTTGTGAAGAGAAAATGGGGGAAAATGGAGCCTTTGAGGGGGAAATTGAACCCTTGAGGGGAAAATGGGGGGGGAAATTGAGTCCTTGAGGAGAAAATGGAGGGGAAAATGGAAGAAAATGGAACCCATGATAAGAAAAAGTAGTCTTTGAGGGGAAAATGGGGGAAAACTGAGCCCATGAGGGAAAAATGGAGGGAAATTGAGCCTTTGAGGGGAAAATGAGGGAAATGGAGCCCGTGAGGGGAAACTGGTGGAAAATGGAGCCCGTGAGGGGGAAATGGAGCCCTTGAGGAAAAAATGGGTGGAAAATGGAGCCGTGAGGGGGAAATGGTGTTTGCAGGGGGAAAATTGGGGGAAATGGAGCACTTGAGGGGAAAATAGGAGGAAATTGAGCTCTTAAGGGAAAAATGGGGGGAAATTGAGCCCTTGAGGGGGAAATGGAGGGAAAATGGAGCCTATGAGGGCAAAATGGGGGGAAATTGAGCCTTTGGGGGGAAAATGACGGAAAATGGAATCCATGAGGGGAAAATGGTGTTTGTGAGAGGAAAATGGGGGAAAGTGAGCGCTTGAGGGAAAAATGGAGCCCTTGAGGAGAAAATGGATGGAAATGGAGCCTTTGAGGGGAAAATGAGGAGAAATGGAGCCTGTGAGGGGAAAATGGGGGGGAATGGAATCCATGAGGAGAAAATGGTGGGAAAATGGAGCTCCTGAGGGGAAAGTGGGAGGAAATGGAGCCTCTGAGGGGAAAATGGGGGAAAATGGAGCCTGTGAGGGGAAAATGGGGGAAAATGTCCTCCTGAGGGGAAAATGGGGAGAAATTGAGCCTTTGAAGGGAAAATGGTGGAAAATTGAGCCCTTGAAGGGAAAATGGGTGAAATGGAGCCTGTGAGGGAAAAATGAAGGGAAAGGGGGAAATGGAGTCCATGAGGGGAAAATGGGGGGAAATGGTGTTTGTGAGGGGAAAATGGGAGAAAATGGAGCCCGTGAGGAGAACATGGTGGAAAATTGAGCCCACGAATGGAAATTGGGGAGAAATTGAGCATTTGAGTAAAAATGGAGAGAAATTGAGCTGGTGAGGTAAAAATGGAGGAAAAAAGAGGCCTTGAGGGGAAAATGGAGCCTGAGAGGGAAAAATGGGAAGAAATGAGCCAGTGAGGAGAATAATGGAGGGAAATTGAGCCTTTGAGGGGAAAATGAGGGAAATGGAGCCCGTGAGGGGAAACTGGTGGAAAATGGAGCCCGTGAGGGGGAAATGGAGCCCTTGAGGAAAAAATGGGTGGAAAATGGAGCCCGTGAGGGGGAAATGGTGTTTGCGGGGGGAAAATTGGGGGAAATGGAGCACTTGAGGGGAAAATAGGAGGAAATTGAGCTCTTAAGGGGAAAATGGGGGGGAAATTGAGCCCTTGAGGAGAAAATGGAGGGAAAATGGAGCCTTTGAGGGGAAAATGGGGGAAAACTGAGTCCATGAGGGCAAAATGGAGGGAAATTGAGCCTTTGGGGGAAAATGATGGAAAATGGAATCCGTGAGGGGAAAATGGTGTTTGTGAGAGGAAAATGGGGGAAAGTGAGCTCTTGAGGGAAAAATGGAGCCCATGAGGAGAAAATGGATGGAAATGGAGCCTTTGAGGGGAAAATGGGGGGAAACTGAGGCCATGAGGTAAAAATGGGAGGGTAAAAAGAGCCCTTGAGAGGAAAATGGAGCCCTTGAGAGGAAAATGGGGGGAAATTGAATCCATGAGGGGAAAATGGGGGGGAAATGGTGTTTGTGAGGGGAAAATGGGAGAAAATGGAGCCCATGAGGGGAAAATGGAGGGAAATGGAGGCTCTGAGGGGAAAATGGGGGGAAATTGAGCCCTTGAGGGGAAAATGAGGGCAAATGGATCCTGGGAGGGGAAAATGGAGCCTTTGAGAGGAAAATTGGGGAAATGGAGTCTGTGGGGGAAAAATGGGGTAAAAGGGAGCCTGTGAGGGGAAAATTGAATCCATGAGGGGAAAATGGGGGAAATTGAGTTATTGAGGGAAAAACAGAGCCCTTGAGGAGAAAATGGAGGGAAAAGGAGCCTGTGAGGGGAAAATGAGGAGAAATGGAGCCCTTGAGGGGAAAATGGAGGGAAATGGAGGCTCTGAGGGGAAAATCGGGGAAAATGGAGCCTGTGAGGGGAAAATCGGGGAAATGGTGTTTGTGAGTGGAAAATGGGAAAAAATTGAGATCTTGAGGGAAAAATGTGGGAAAATTTGAGCCCTTGAGGAGAAAATGGAGGGAAATGTAATTCATGAGGGGAAAAAGGGGACAAATGGAACCCGTGAGGAGAAAATGGGGGAAAATGGAGCTCCTGAGGAGAAAGTGGGAGAAATGGAGCCCACCTGGGATGCTGGATCAGGGGTCCAGGTGAGAATACAAGAAGAATATTTGGATAACAATGAATTATTATCCAAAACGCTCTTTATTTGTTCAGCACTAATAAGCTGCTGCTAACAACGGTTTGTATTTCATTTGATCTCAGGTAATCTCCATTTTGTGGCTAATTGGGTTTACACTTATCAATTTCTCGTTAGTATCATACTTATCTAAAGTTATCCACCTGATGAGAGTTTTCTTCTTTTTTTTTCTGTGTTCATCATTAAGCACTTGGTTAACCATATAATACCCATTAAGTTGTAAAAAGGAAAAAGTTATTTATATCAGGATATATAGGTATGAAAGTTGTATTCAGGTTATATAGATATGAAAAGTTATGATTTAGGTTATATAGATATTGGATTACACAAATATGTAAAAAATTATATAGATATATGAAATTATATAGATACATCCCTGCATTATATAGAGATAAATATTTATATAGATTGCATAGATGCATAGATATGCTGTGTAAATATATAAGTTTGTCTTTTATTTCTCTGCATAGATACAGAGAACTAGGTTGTGTAAACAACACATATCAGTACAACGTATATTGATATATATTGTGTCAATGCCAATATAATTTATGTTATATTAATATTAAATTGTAGAGGTAGGCCAGGTTATACAAGCATCTTATAATGCAAAGTATATGAATGCCTTTTAATTTTATAGAAGGTTAAATAGGCATTAACGAAGAATAATATTGTGGAAAATATATCTGTTTAAACAGTGTGCAATCACCTTTAAGTTATTGTTTACTATTCCAGGTTAATTCATAATCTTGGTGTCACAGAACTATTCTAACAGGGAAAAACCTCGAGGAATAAATCTTGTCTCAAGCTTTTTTGTCCCAAGATCACCAAGAAACGCGATTTTTACCCAAAATCCCCCAATTTGGTTTGCTCCCACGGCGTCCCCCCGTACCCATGGCGACGGGGCGGCCCATTCCACCTTCCCTCCCTCCACACTTGGTACGTTCCATGCAAATGAGCCCGCACGCGCCACCACCCCTGCGTTCAAACTGGCAACCAATAGGAAGCGAGGAGGCGGGGGTCACGATAATGATTGACAGCTCCCAGAGCCTATCGCGAGGCGCGGCGCCACAAAGCCGTCAAGGAAAACCACAGACCTATCAGCGGCGAGGAGGCGGGATTACGGCGATGATTGACAGCGCCCGGAGCCAATCGGGAGGCGCAGCGTCCCGTCCCTCAGCGGCCGCCGCTTTCCCGCCCTGCGCCCCGGGACCCCCCAAAACTTCCCGGGACCCCCCAAAACCTTCCCGGGACCACCATGGGCTTCCTGAAGCTCATCGAGATCGAGAACTTCGAGTCCTACAAGGGCCGCCAGATCATCGGGCCCTTCCGCCGCTTCACCGCCATCATCGGCCCCAATGGCTCCGGTGAGTCCCGGGGGGGTTCACGGCGCCGCTCCCGTGATGGTCTCTGAGGGGTGACACCGAATTCTTTTACACCGCCCCGCTCTCTCTTCCTCCTCCCGCCGGGCCCGAGGGGTTCTCCGCTTCCTGGGGTCCTTCCTAAATATTGGGGTCTCCCCCATTCCATGGGGGTCCCTCCTCTTCCTCTGGGGTCCTCCCCCCCATTCCATGGGGTCCCTCCTGAACTTTGGGGTCCCCCCCATTCCATGGGGGTCCCTTCTAAGCCTTATTGGGGTCCCCAATAATTCTCCACAGCCCTCCCTCAGCGCCCCCCCCTCGCCTCCCTCCTCTTC